TGTGGGAGAAACCCCAAACTTGCAGCTTCTCTCCAATTCAGAGGCCAGACTCCCACAGTGTTAGGGCCTTTACCGGCTTCAGCAACACCCGCTATCACTTGCTCACGAACTTGCAGCTTACAATCAGGAAAAGAAAATGGAGGACTAGGCAGGGAAGGAGGGGAGATAGTGGCCTCACCTGGCGGTGGGGTACCTCGCGTCTGCTCAGGTGCGCAGCCACAGCTAACCGCACAGCAAGCCGGGAGGTGCTTTCAAACGCCACGGACAGTGGCCAATGGGGTGGAGAGTGACTGGCTGTTTATGGAACTCAGCTATGAAGCAACCACAGAGCCTTTCTTGTAAAAGGCGTGTTCCTCTGTCCAGCTTTGGCAAAAGGAAAAGGAAATTTGTGCACAAAGACTGGATCAACATCTCTGACAACCATAAGAAGACAAGGATTAAGTGCCCTGTTCACACTGAAAAGAGGAATTAAAAAGTTAGAGTCAGTGGGGTCTCCGCTGGGACATGGGCAGGGGCTTGTTTGCTCAGAAGTGGCTGAGCATTTCAGGTGGTCTGACCAGTTCTTCAGAAAGGTGGGAGAGAAGTGGGCACCCAGCCCACTGCTAAGCCAAGCCCTGAGCCCTGAAGTGTGAACCTTCAGGTCTGAGATCTGATGAATATGAGTGTGTAAGGAGAAGGTAAGACAGAGTCCTACAAAGGAAAGGGCTTAGTATCCGGAACTAGAAGGCTTTAGGATGGTTTTCTACTTTTGAAGAAAGTAGATAGATAGATGAAAAGAGAAGTGTCCTGTTAGTTTACTCCTCCCCTCTCCAGGTTCCAGCAACCACCAGAACTGGGTGAGGTTGAAATGAAGAGCTAGAAACCCAGCCTGTGTGTGCCTCGGGGTCAGCAGGAACCCAACCACTGAGCCGTCACCTGCTGCCTCCCAGCGTGCATACAAACAGAAAGCTAGAATCTGGAGAATACCATGGACTTGAACCCAGAGACTCCAACACAGGATGTAGGCATCCTAAACACTGTGTGAAACACCCAGCCCACGATTTGGGTAATTGAAAAGCTGTATAGATCTAAGTATGTATTATGAGTAAAATAGAGATATCCCCTGAAAATGCCCTTGATTTTTAAAAGATACAGAGATGATGACACTGATGATGATGGTGATGGTAGTTGTGATGGGTATGTGTGTATGTGTGTGTGTTGGTAAAGTCTTGTACATATTTAGAATATGTCAGTCTCCTCCCTCCCTACCCCATTCCGAGTGACCACCATTCTTCAGTTAACTTCATTATTAGAAGCTATTTTCCATTATTAGAAGCTCTTGTTTGAAAATACTTCATTCCTCAGTGCCAAGCATGAGTCAGTGTAATTCAGAAAGGCCAGCTGTATAGCGAGGTTTTAGCTTCCAATAACTGTCTTTTTAAAAAAGATTTTATTAATTATTTGAAAGGCAGAGTTAGGAGAAAAAGAAAAAAGAGAGAGAGAGAGATTGTATCTTCTGGTTCACTCCCCAAATGGCTACACCAACCAGAGCTGTGTTGGTCTACAGCCAGGATCCAGGAGCTTCACCCAGGTGAGCCACGTCTCCCACATGGGGGCAAAGGCCCACGCAGTTGGGCCATCTTCTACTGCTTACCCAGGCACATTAGCAGGCAGCTGTACGCACTATGCCTCAGCACCAGCCCCACATATCTGTGCCTGACTTAGGATGCCCACAGCTTAGCAGGAACAAGGGTATTAAGTCTCAGTCCATTTCTGCCCCTGCATTGGCATCAAAGGAGACTTCACTCAGCAACATGATGCCAGGACTAAATCACTCATCCTCAGCCATACAGCTGCTAAGTTGAAGTCAAGATCAGAGCTCCTGTGGCACAGTTCCCATGCTCAGATTTTTAACCTGCCACGCAGCCAGTACAGATCTGGCAAAGGATGAAGAGGTGTAGGTGAGAGAACACATGTATGTCATTCTCACAGGGTTCTGATCTTATCCTGCATTCCCTGCTGCTGACCTCAGCCCTGGTCTCACGTTCTAGTTCTAGAGCATGGGCAGAGTGGGGAGCATTGGGGCTAGTCCAGGGAACAGCCTGAGACTCGCTGACAACATGCCCCTACCCTGCAAAGGCTGTCACTGGGAGCAGGGGCTGCTGGGTGGAGACAACCCCTCCCACACAAGGTGCTCTTTGCCATCTTGCAGAGAAATTATAGAAGACTCTAACTTTATTGAGCTTCCCTCCCTAACAATTGTTTCAGCTAAAATCTGTCACATGCTAAGCCCCTTGACCTCCATGTGAGAGCTGCTGTGCTGAGCTAATCAGAGTACAGCCATTGGAGTTCCTTCACCAGTCAGTTTATAATAAATAGCAGACTAAAGTAGGGACAGAGCAAAACATGCCTCCTTTTTTATCTTGTAATCTTTTTTAAAAATTAAAAATTATTTTTATTGGAAAAAAGGAGAGACAGAAAGATCGTCCATCCGCTTGTTCACACCCCAAGTGGTCACAGCTACCAGAGCTGAGTCGATCCAGAGCCAGGAGCTTCTTCTGGGTCTCCCATGCGGGGCAGGGTCCCAAGGCTTTGGGCTGTCCTCAACTGCTCTCCCAGGCCACAAGCAGGGAGCTGGATGGGAAGCAAAGGAGCCAGGACATGAACCAGTGCCCATATGGGATCCTGGCGCATGCAAGGTAAGGATTTAGACCCTAGGCTACCCCACCAGCTCATCAAAAACGACTTTCTCAGAACTAGACCTAGCTAGTTAGTGATGGGCACGGGTTAGACACCCAGGCCTGAGTTAATAATTCAAAGTTTTGTTGTAGGAACTGGATTGTGATTCTGCCACTTCACTAGGGAGACTTTGGGGCATGCTATCAACCTTTTACGGCTAAATTTCTTTGCCTATAAAAGGTGATGGTAAGGCCTGTCTGGGTTGGAAACGTGTGAGCTGTTTTCCTAATTCCAATGGCTTCCTAAATGCTCTCCTCCCTTGCTAGCCTTCCCTCCCCAGCATAGCATGCCAGGCCCTCGGCAACTCTGTTTGTATGACCAGTTATGGAGATGCTGGACTCAAACTGAGCCAATCAGATACTCTACTCCGACTTTCTGGTGTCACATTCCTCCCACAGTATCGTTTGAATAACAGAGGAATAGAGTCAGCAGAGAGTGGACGATGTGAACGTGCAGCAGAAATGACACAGGAATTCCCCCTTTTGGCAGTGAGAGTCCTAGCTCCCACTAGGTATGAGGAATGTTGAGCATAAAAATGTCTGCAAGGAGTCTAACCTAAAATGGAGCGAGTGTGCAGTAAGTGGCATTCAAAAATGGTCATTCCCCTTACTCTTGTGTGGGGTTGCTTCTATTTAGGCATGGATCTTGCTATTTCAATATGGCTGAAATGTCTCTCTCTCTCTCTCTCTCTCTCTCTCTCTCTCTTTTTTAAAGATTTATTTATTTTATTGGAAAGGCAAATGTACAGAGAGGAGGAGAGTCAGAGAGGAAGATCTTCCGTCCAAATATTCACTCCCCAAGTAGCCGGTGCTGCACCGATCCAAAGCCAGGAGCCAGGAACTTCTTTCTGGGTCTCCCACGAGAGTGCTGGGTCCCAAGGCTTTGGGTCAGGCTATTCGGGCCGTCCTCAACTGTTTTCCCAGGCCACAAGTAGGGAGCTGGATGGGAAGTGGAGCTGCCAGGATTAGATCCGGAACCCATATGGGATCCCGGGGCATTCAAGGTGAGCTCCTTAATCATTACCTTACCATGCCAGGCCCTGAAATATCTCTTTAGCTGGCAGCACAAAATAGCTGTACCCCAAGTTACATCCAGGGAGGACAAGCACATAGTAACCCCAGTGGAGCCCTTTGAGGGTTACTGATTCTTTGCTGGACAGGTAGGACTCCAGTCATTTGTGTAAAATCGTCCCTGTGCATCCTGGAGGAACCCAGGTGATACTCGGTTTCCACTTAAAGCTTGATTGTACGCACAGGACATTGTCTTTGTGTCTTACATCAACAAGGTTGCTGCAGAACATTTGTTTACCTCTACCCCCTTCCTAAGAGTAACTCCCATGCCTGCCTTGTTCATACAACGTTCTTGGTGTTCAGCTCAGGCCATAGTACACAGTAGGAAATCAGGATGCATTTTTCTCAGAAATCAAATGCAATTCTTTACTCACTGAGTGAACACTTGTTTGCTTGTAATTGTACCGATAGGAAGTGACCACAGGGAGGGATTCCAACAGAGGCTTATTCAGCCCCCAAGCTGCCGTCCTTTCATAGAACAACCACTGTGGCAACTTAGGGCCCACACTCTGAGTCCTGTTCAGACCGGTCTTCAAACTCATGCTCCAAAAATCTCCCTACTCTCACTCTTCTCTGCTATACCATTTGGTCAAAGCCTCCAATTATTTGTCTCTCTGTCTCCACCATCATGTTCAAGAGCAGTATGTAAGTGACCGAAGCACAGACTGCTTCGCCTGTCTAGGTGCCTGACACCAGAAAGAATTGGACCAAGCAGAGGGAGGCTGAAGTTGCTTCCTGTCATCAGCAGAAGCACCCTTGCCACTCTCTTACTACTTCTCTCCTACTGCTTCAGTTTGGGGTGCAGGTCCAGGAGGAAGGAGGGGATAAGTGAAAGGGCATGGTGAACCCTTGCTATCCAGCCCCTGGATCCTGCTGGTAATCTCTCTGAGGCTGTGGTCTCTTACTAGGGCACGCCTGGCCCAGAGCAGGCAGCTCACGGTTGTGATGATGTAAATGAACAAATGAATGCAAATACATAATAGAGGCGAGTGCTTACCTACCACTCACTCCACCCTAGCTTTTCCAGTTAACAAGTCTCAAGTTACCGGTCAGAGGAAGGTGTTCCCATGTCTCAAAGCCTGGCTTAGGTAACCTGGCATCACCCTACAAACGCAGGGTGTGAGTTCTGCAACAGTGTCAGTTTCTGGGCAGGGTTTTAGACTTCCACCATCCCAAGTTGCACCCTTGGCCTTGCATTCCAGCTCAGTGAGTAGAAGCATATAAATATCAGTGGCTCTCAGTCCCAAGACATCGTTGCTGAAGACTTGCATGGGCAGCATGAAGTTGGGAGGCTTCCTTGTCCTTGTGGCCCTCCTCACCCTCAGCATGGAGGTACAAGAGCTTCAGGCTGCGGTGAGACCATTGCAACTGCTGGGTGAGTCCTGGAAGAAGGTAGCTTCTTTGTTCTCGAGGTGGAGGGATCCAGTGTGTGCAGGGAGAGAAGGAAGAGAAGGGGAGATAGCCTCCTGGGAACCACTCAGCTCCAGGGGCAGAATCTCTCTTCTCCTTTCCAGGGCCATCCTCCATCACAGCATCTCCCTAAAGCCTTCACAGATTCCAGTCCCACCCCTATCACTCTTCTAAAGCTTTTCTTGCAGAGCCCATTGACAAATATCTTGCCTCTCCTTCACTGCCAAAGCTTTCACCTCTGCAGCACCCGACTCTTTGTCACTTAGCCCCACAAGTTGCTTCTTTTCTGCTTCTTTTATTGCATCTTCTTCTTCTCTCTGAATGTTACTGAATTCAAATTACGCCTTTCTTCACTCTCCTCCCTCTGCATTGCCAAACACTGTGTTCTTGAAACTGTTGTGTGTTTCTTCAACCCTCAATGCCATCCTGGCTTTCCAGCCCTGACTATGCTACACTTCTGCCATCACAGTGGTTTCCTGAGAGCTCTCCCTGCCACCTCGTGGAATGCTATGTGCTCACACTAATTCGTCTTCCCAAATGAACAGCAATCACATCTCTCTTGGCCTCTTAAAAGAAATCTAAACAGTTCATCCAGGGAGACCTGCTCACATGCTGTAACTTTGTCTCTGCTGAACAGCTGATTCCTAATGCTTACCCATCCCTCCACTTACCATCCCTCCTCTGTGTCTTACATGTCAAGGTGAGGACTGGGGTAGATGGGTTGTCTTCGGTGCAATATTGAAAGAAATGTTATTCCCAGGACTGGGAAGATGTCTCCTTAAATTTCCTGCCTTTCCCTCATAGCAACCATGTTGTAGTTTCCCCTCATGAACTTGAGCTGAAACTCACATTCCACAATACTCAACTTCCCCTGCTTCAATGTTGCCTTAAAGGATTCCTGCACTCTTTCATCTGATGAGAGGTGATGATGTCTGCCCTTCTCTGAGTCTCTTTAGGCCTGAAGAGCTATGTGTCTCAGCACACCTGTCGCACACTGTTATGCTTTTAGCATTTTAAATAGAAGTCTTGTCTCCATCACTCTAATGAGTGGATACTAATCAAATCAATGGATGGATATTTAGTGAGTGCGCTGACTGCTCTTGGTGTGGACAAGAGATCAATAGGCTTCTGACTACAACCCCTCAACAGCTGCTAGAAGCTTGGAGGCATCCTGCTGCCTTTCTCTGAGGCCCCTAAGTCTACAGCAGGTGACCCACCAGGCCTCCTGCTCTCCCTCGTCAGCACTCTGGAACCAGGGATGATTTGACTGAGCCCTCTCCGCATAGCTGCAGGGAGCTATTCCTACAGATAGGAATGGCTGTCGTATGTCCTGCTGGATTCAGGAGTCCTGTTTTACCTATGAACAAACACAGGTCCAAAGAGGTCCAGAGACAGAATCTGGTAGGGACATTGTTGATCACAGCTGAGTGAGCAGGCCAGCACACATTCACCTGCTGCCCTGCATGTGTTCTGCTAGAAGCTCCTGTGGTTAGTAATCCACACCATGGCCCCCTTTCTTGGGTTTTCAAGACAACCTTGAGGCTCTGGGAACCTGGAAATGTCCCGCTCAGGTCAGAAGTGACTCCTTGACATTCGGAGATGGGTTCTTTATGTCAGGGTCAATTTCACGATGTGGGGCGGCAGAAGGAGCTTGGGCCTAGGGGGCAGGTAGGCCTGGGTTGAATGCCACTTAAGTCACCTCCTTTAGTTCCATCTGCCACATCTACAAAATGGAGTGAGTAAAACTCGCTGCTCAGGGTGACTGCAAGATACCCCTGATGGACCTCAGGATCAGAGTCTGCCCTCTGCACTCTACCTCCTGCAGCATGGAGAAGGGAGGGCCCTGAAGTGGGTGTCTCCACACTTCCCCCCCACCGCAAACTCAAACATAGTTTCCGTATCCACATCTCTAAAATAGGCCTTCCTTTTCTGCAGCTTCTGTGAAAACATTGCTTTTAAGTGAAATATGGAAGATGTGAATGAATGTTACTCACCAGGAGTCCTTTATACATTCTATTGTGTACTGAGCTAGAAGGATAAAGTACCACTGGCCTTTTATTCAAGAGCTGTCTTCCCTGCAGGTCCCTGTGCCGAGCTCTGCAGAGGTGACTGGGACTGTGAGATAGGAGAGTCCTGTGTGAGCAACGGCTGTGGCCACATCTGTGAGCCCAAATGAGAACAGGTGAAGTCCTCAGATCCTCCCTACTTCCTCATGCTTCTCTCAGCCCAGGCAGGTGCGCCAGCGGCCCTGGTGTCTCTTCCACAGAAGTGGGTAGAACAAAGAAGCCTGCCTGTCTCCCCGTGGTCCCTCCCTCTTTCCCCACACTCCACAAGAGAAAAATGAAACCACTGGAGGATGATGGTCTTTGAGCCTTTAAAATGATCTTTTTACTTTGGAGAAAACTCAGATTATGCATTGAACAAAAAGAAGATAAGAATTACTCATAGTCCTCCACCCCAAATGCATCACAATGCATGTTTTCATGCATATACACACACGCATAATATTTATATAAAATGAGTTTAGTGTGGATCTATTTTTAACTCTTCATTGTTTCATTTAAAAATAGCTAGCAAACAATTTTCACATTCATGTGTCTGTACCACCATCTTTAATTAACCATCAAGTCCATTATTCCATGGGATTAAAAACATTCAAGGGAAAACAGAATTAATCATAATGAATGAGAGGGCCAGCACTGTGGAACGATGCATTAAAGTATTACTGGCAATGCTGACATCCCATATCAGGACCCTGGTCGCTCTGCTTATGAATCAGCTTTCTGCTTATACATCTGGGAAGGCAACAGAAAGTGGTCCAAGTTTTGGAGTCCCTGCCATCCATGTGGGAGACTCGCAGGGAGTTCCTGGCTCAGACCTGGCCACTGCAGCCATTTAAAGAGCGAAGCAGCAGGTGGAAGCTCTCTTTGTTGCTCCCTCACTCTGTTTTCCTGCTTTTCAAATAACAAACACAATGCATGGCATGGGAATTTGGCAGAACTGTTAAGATCCTGCTTTGGGTCACATCCCATGTAAACGTGGCTGGGCTTGAGTCCTGGCTCTGCTGCTTCGCACTTCCTGCTAATGTGCACCAGGAGACAGGATGGCTCGCGTAGCTGGGTCCCTGCTACCCACGTGGGAAACCTGGACGTGGCTCCTACCCAGCTCACAGCTTCAGTCCAACCCAGCCCTGGCTACTGCAGGTATTTAGGTAGATCTCTCTCTCTCTCTCTAGTGCTCTGCATTCCAAATAAAAAAGATACCACATATTTTCCACAAATGCTCATATACACAGCAACCTTCATTAATACACATTTAAGACACTCAAATTTCCTATTTTAGATATGATTAATAGAGTATAATGGGCACTAATTCAAACATGCTCATTCCTTGACATAAACTTCAAGAAGTGTAACTGACGACCAAAAAGTGTGCTAATTTTAATCATTTTGTGCAGGTTTCCATTCTCACCTATGAGGACCCCTTATAAAAATACTTCACAAACCTCACATGGTAGTTTATTTTTGTAGCTATCAATTTAAAAAACAATAATCAAAGCATAACTGGGATAAGTTTTGATGACAAATCACATTGTATTAAACACAACAGAATCTGTATTTTAAAAATAAACCATTTGTAGCCAGAACATGGATTTGACCAATTCCTCCTCGATTCTTGGGATACTTGTGATCCTTCCTGGTCCCTGCAGGTTCTATGTGTTTACAGAGGTGGGAACTGTTGCCTCCGCACTCTGCCCTGTGAACCCAAGTGCCCCAGACTGCAGGTCTCACGCTCACTTATTTTTGCTCTTTTCTCAGATGCAGAGCTCTCATAAGGGCCATTCTTCCCAAATGAGTGCTCACCTCTTCTTGGAGCTTCTACCTTCTACGCTATGATAGCTTGGAGCCTCTTACCCAGGAAGACAGATGAAAATGGCAGCCTGTGGATGCAGAGTAAAAGGGGCCTGGGGAAGGGAACAGGAGGTGTTTGTTGTAATAAATTAGCATTGTTAAAAGCATACCTACTGCACGAGTTATTTGGTTGGCATGGGTCAGGGGAAGAGAGGCGACAGCTGCTTAACAATTTCTGTGCAACAAAGCCCATGAAATTCTGCACAAGCATGATTTCTCCAATACCCATGCTATATGTAAGGACACTGAGATTTGGGGAAATTGAGAATCAGACTACAAAGCTTATGTAATACAGAACAGTGGTCGGGAGCTCCACCCCCGCTTGTGAAACCAAAGCTACCACACTGCTCTGTGGCTTCCCTCCAATGAGTTCTGCCTATTCTGTGGTTGTTCCTTCTCCTACACAACCATGTCAACCTCACAAAACTGGAGACCTATAAGAACGTGGTCCATGCAAAGCAAGTATTTAACATAGTTCTTCACTCATAGAAAGTATACAGGGAATCTTTATGAGGATGATGATGATGAAGAGGCGGCGGCTCACCAAACACAGGGAAGGAGGACTCTAGAATACAGCCCAAGGATGATCCAAATGCGTCCTGACAGCTTTCCCAAGGAAATTACAGAATAAGGTTCCAGATCATCTAATGCAGAATTTAAAAGGGGAATGGATGTGATCTCGTGAGCACCTTCAGAAGACACGAGATCGTTTCAGGATGGGGGAGATTCTCCTGGGAGACAGGTCCTGCGAAGCCGGGAGTTACCGCTATTTCAGGGTGGGTTGTGAGGATCAGGCATGCTATAGCCAAAACTCCTGAGAACTCGGTATGTTTCTTTCTATTGGTTGTCCCTCAGGAACACATTTCCTTGGAGGAACTACATTGCTAACCACAATGTAATATTCTGTCAGAACTCAACAGTTTAGACATTGGTATATTTTGAATACCTGGGCATCCCGCAACATTGTGGTAAAGCCCCCCACCCTTTCCAACAGTCTCTTCACACCCCTTCCCGGTGGAGACGGTGATGCCTGACATTCTTCTAGCGCAGCCCACTGGATATCGCTTAAGCATTGCTTCAAGTGTCCCTGAGCTTCAGCCATTGCTGCCTTGGCTAATTTATCTCAGCTAGCTTAGTACAGATGCAACTTGTCAGGGTCTTGCCCTCACCTGCAAGGACATAACCCCTCGGCCTCACCTCAAGGCGCCTATGTGAAAAGGGGCTCCTGTAGGATGCTGTTCAACACGGAAGCTCCAGGGAAGGAATTCCTGCTGGGGGGCGGGGCGGGGACGCAGCGGCTGTGGTTAGAGGACAAGTATCTGCCTCCCATCCCACCCCCTCCTTATTCACAGGCTGCTCAGAAACTCCTGAACAATCAACCCCTGCTCCCATACTAGCATTCTCCTTTCCCAGTGAATGCCTGAATAGATGTAGGATCTCTCTCTCTCTCTCACACGCACACACACACAGCAATAACATGCAAGCAAGCATCATGGAATTTAAATTCTAGCAAAAAGTAAGCACTCCCCCCAGAGAAGCAAGCTCTGCTAAGGCATAACACCAATGTTTAGGATGATCCGAAGTGTCTTCTTTCAGATATCAAATATGTAACTTCAGAAAACTTGGTTTCCCCTGGGATCCAGAGATGCAGGTTTGTTTTACATTGGCACAACTCATCAGGCTAGCCTGTTCACAAGTGCCTGTCAAGGCCCCATCTCTCTGATGACTGAAAGTTGGTCACAGCTTTTTAAATGACTCAATATTCCCAGCTGTTGAAGTTTTCAGCGACCGGTGGCATGCTCAACTTGAGGGAGGTTGCATTTTATGTTAATTCAGGTTGAACTCCGAACTTTCTGGCGTGGAGCGCTCTCTTGCATTCAGGGCCCAAAAGAGGGAGAAATAGGGGAACAGGCTGTGCAGCGAGCCGTCACAGGTATGGGAGAGCTGCCCTCCATTCCGCCGCTGGATTTCAGTCACTGACTGGAGCCAACTGGCGGGAAGACTGGGCAAGGCGGTGTTTCTTCAGGGTGATTCCGCGCCTGGATCACACACTGCGGGCGCAGGAGAATCTGAGGACCTGCCCCTCTCCAATTCCAGCCCCCAGCAGTTAGCCCTGCCAGGAACAGGCTGCCGCAGGGGCTCACGAGAGGCGGCCGGCCAAAACTCCTCACATTAATCTCCAGCAACATCAGCTGCTTTCAGCCCGACCGGTCCCGCAGCCCTAGGAACCTCCGCTTCTACTCCAAATAAGGCATATCCGGACCGAAGACGCGGGACCGCGGGATGCCCCGGAAGTTATTCCCTGCGAGCGAGCAAGATGGCGGCGATGCAGGTGGCGAGCTTGTTCCCTTGCTCGCAGCCGGAGACGGCCCCGGAGCCGCACGCCGGTTTCCGCCGCTTGTGCGCCAAGCTCTGCGCTCTGCGCCCGGATGAGAGCCCCTCCGCGCGCACCGAGATCCACCTGCTCTTTGACCAGCTCATCTCCGAGAACTACAGCGAGGGCGGCGGCGTGGCCCAGCAGGTAGGCGGCGAGCGAGCCCTCCGACCTCCAGGTCTGCGGCCGCGGTGCGGGCTGCCCGTCCCTGGCCCTCGCCCTACCCTGGCCGCTTCCCCTCTCTTTCCCTGCCAGTGCATCCGAAGCACTTAGCACACAATATCCCGTAACCCTTGACCCTGGCACCCGGCCATCCCCAGGGCTGCCTCTCCCTTCCACACGGGCTTCTGCTCCCAACTTGTTTTAACTCTCAGGTTTTTCGTTGCCGGTTTCTGAACCACTCCGCCCTCCCAACCCTTGAGCCAGCCAGTCGTGGACATGGCCTTGGGGTGCACCTGGTACCCCAGGCTTGACTGAACACATGATGTCAGCTCACATTCCCGCTCCCGACACACAGGTGTGCACAGCTCACGGAGAACACACATTCTTCATCCAGGTCCCCTCCAGTGCGTCTTCAGAGTCTCCCCTGCCCGTTGCCTGCGGACCCAACGTTGTTCCTCTGAACTGGTCCCCAGATTTCTGACCTCCAGTCCAGCCCTGCTTCCGTCTGTCCTTTGCTGCCCAAGTGAGCTTTTCTTGGGTAGAAGAAAAGGATACTCTGATTATAAGAGTAAAGAGTTTGGTTTCTGCCCTGCAGAGCACGAGCGTTTACTGTTTGCTGCTTGACTGGGTCTGGGGGCCGTAGGGGAGGGGTCTTTGCTTGGATGATGGGTGTGTTACCTTTTCTTTGTCTTTCTCCATCTTTTTGGGGCAGGATGTTGGTGCACTTCTGGTCCAAGCTTGCCGCCTGGTGCCTCTTAATCAGAATCATCTTGTCAACAAAGTGTCTCAGCTTATTCACCATTTACTTAACAGGTTACTGGTAAGCATGTGTGTGATGTTAAAATTCAGATCAGGCGGTTAGAGAATAAGTCGGTGCTTTTGCAATCCAACATCCGTGATGGGAATGCTGGATAGGCTGGTCTTGTAAGAAGCTGTGGAAAGGGCGAATGTCTAAATAAAAGTGTTACTGAAACAAATATAACTGGTTAAAAACAAAGAATTCTGTATAATTCTAGACATTTGTTGCAAGTACTGCTGTTTGAGTCAGTCCACCAGCATTACCTGCCCTGTCCCCAGCTCCCCCAGTCTGAGATTTTTCTCCTGGAAGAGGTAGTTGACCAAGGTGTATTTTAGAATAAATTCAGACTGTTCCTTCTTTCTTTTCCATTATGTTTTCTCCTTTCCCCAAGCTAACAGAAGTGGGGCAGAGGGACACCAGGACAGAAAGACCTTAGTTCTGTATTAAAGTCTGTACTTCAGGTCCTTTCTAGAACCTTTTCCAGTTTCCCAAAGAAATCAAGTAGCTTTTTTAGGCGTGGTGCAGAAATAAAGACTGTTAGTATCTGAAAATATGCCACATGAGAACATGAATGTAATTAAACCTGAAAAGTGGATCACCTAGAATTATGTCACATGCTTTTGGCTGTAGGAAACCAGGAAGGGTTTTGGGGGCCGTTAATAAGGCTCGTTGGCACCCTCTCTGCCACGTCAGTGTGGGGTTATCCTCAGCTGGCAGCTCTTTCAGTCATGTGGTAGCTACTTCCATTCCAGGTAAAAGAAATAACCCTCAGGAGAAGCAAAACAACTGCTGATTTTGTGTCTTTATTTTGAAGAAAGAAGAAACTTGTCCCATAAACGCTCTGGCCGACTCCTCTCATATCTCTCAGAAGAGACCTAAGTCATACAAGATGCAAGTTTGTGGGGAAAATGGAATTAGAAAATCAGTTTATTTTGGTGCAAAAAAAATTGCAAGCCATACGTAGTGTTTTCATGATACAGATCGTGAGCTTTTTTTTTTTAATGTTATGTTCTTATTTAATGTGTGTAAAGTAAGTACCCAGTCATTACTAAATTGAAATATGCCAATAGCTTTTGAGTGTAATATTTTTGGCTCTGAATCATACAAAGGTTTATGTGTTACAATAGAACATTAAGAATAATAGGAATGTTTCTAAACAGGTAACAATTTAGGTCCTTCTTTAAATTAATTGGAGTTGACATTGAAATTCCTGGAATTTTGTAGCTATGATGAAGAGCATTGAGATTCTTTAAACAAAAATAATAAAGTTTTTCCTAGTGAAAATGAAAATCTAATCTAAAAGTTTTCACTTTTTACTAATAGGATCATATTTTCTTTCCTTGAAAGTTTTACAGTTTTCTGAAACACCTTTGGCTTACGTACAAAAATTGTACCACATGATACTCAATACATGTAGACCTTGTGCGATGTTCAAGGTAGACTAAAGAGAATTGTTCCCTCAAATATTGATCATTTATCGTCCTGAGCTTTTGAATAGTGTAGATATTATTGTAAACCGCTGTCTGAGCAGGAGTGTGGTGTTGTCATGAGTGACTTAGCAGGGCTGTGCAGCTTGATTGTACGTCAGAATCAGTTGGAGGGTAGGGTCTCTGGGCGGCAGCCCTGTGTTGACGTGTTGCTTGCGGTAATTCTGTGTCATGAGAGGCTGTCCTGTGTGTTGTGGGATGTTCACAGCATCCTTGGTCTCCACCCACGGTCTGCTGTTAGCACCCGTGCAGTGTGACAGGCAGCCATGTCTGCAGACACCACCAAACGTTCCAAAGTGGCGGGGCGGGGGAACAACATTTCGCCTAGTTGAGAACCTCTATTTCAGATGAATCAAATGTGCTGCTGGGTTTCAGGTGGGAGGTGTGGGCAGCCCAGTGAAATCACGGCTTTCCCCACAAGGAAGGAGGCAGTGACTGCTAGGTGACCAGTGTGTGCTACGTGAACTCAAGTTCAGCTTTTTCAAGCTGATGGGTGGGGTAAAGGTTTGTAACATGGGCAGTTGAAAGAGCTTCTGATCCCCTGTGGCACTTAAAGCCCATGACCATCTTCCTTAGCATTTGAACAGCTTGTTTCAGTTGTCTGTAAATTGATATTTGGATTAATCTGTCTCAACAAGATTTTCAAATCTGTGAGGGGAGGGATGTGTTGTCTCTTCATGCTGTGCTTCTCACATCACGGAAAGACATAGTAGCTGGTTGGCAGATTTCTTTATTCACTATGTCCTTATTGAGTGTTTACTGCATATGAGGCAGCTTAATTGATTTATGTATTCCAGTGAATTGGGGTGTTTAAAATCACCAGCATCTGATGGGGTACAAGGGCTTTGCTGGGGTCTGCTTCCAGTGCTGGGGAGTGCTGGGAAATGCTACCAGTGCCCATGTGTGATCCCAGCACATTCAGGGCTAGATTTAGCTGCTAAGCTGTTGAGCCAGGCCCACAAACACGATTGCTAAAGCTCACCTCACGTGTGGTTTTGCTCTCTGGGTAGGTGATTGTTGATGAGCAGAGCTTGGATTTCCTCCTGGCGTACACGATTTCGGCCCTTCGGCAGTGCAGCTCCTGGACGCACATGGAGATTCTTCAAGCCCTGGCTGCCCTCGTCTACTTCAACGGTTCAAAATGTCAAAAGGTAGTTGACACTGTGTTCTGTGTTCCTTTTTTTTTAATTTTATTTTATTGGAAAATCAGATATACAAAGGAGGAGAGACAGAAAAGATCTTCCGTCCATTGATTCACTCCCCAAACAGCTGCAACGGCCAGACTGAGCCGATCCAAAGCCAGGAGCCTCTTCCAGGTCTCCCATGCATGTTCAGGGTCCCAAAGCTCAGGGTCCCATCATCTGCTGCTTTCCCAGGCCACAGCAGGGAGCTGATGGGAAACGGGGCTGCCGGGATTAGAACCGGCGCCCATTAGGCATCCTGGTATGTGCAAGGCGAGGACCCCTAGCCGCTAGGCTCCCATGCCGGGCTTTGTCTTCCCTTTTTAAAAAATTTATTCTCATTTGTTTAAAAAGCAGAGCAACAGAGAAGAAATGAGGGAGTGAATGATAAAGTTTTTATCCAAAATCCTGCAATAAATAGGGTTGGATTAGGCAAATCTCAGACTCTGAAATTCCATATACATCTCATGCACGTGGCAGGGATCCAAGCAACTGAGCCGGCAGTTGGCTCATGCCTCTCAGAATGCATCAGCAGGGAGCTGGAGTGAAAGTGGAGGAACCGGGACTTGAATCTGCATTCTGATTTGGGATGCAGGCATGCCACATGGCAGCTTAATGTGCTGTGCCACAATGCATGCCCCTGTCTTTCCTTCAGAAGGTCAAGAGCCCAGGTACTGGAGGCAGTAGTTGGGTCCTGCCACTTACGAGATGTGTAACTTTGAGCAATGCTTATTCAGCTACTCTGGGCCTTGTTGCCTCCTGAGTGAAACAGGTGCTTTGAGGATGAAGGGAGGTGATGTTGGACACTAGGGAAACATCATTATCTCCGTGAGGCTGGGAGGGAGGAACCTTACTGTTGTGGGCATATCTTCGCATCCTCACCTGCAAGGTTTGCCCAGCAGCTAGTTTGTAGGTACTTAACTGCCCTTTAGTTTAAAACATGAAATCTGTCAAAAGAGTCATTCTTTTTTTTTTTTTTTCTGGGAAGATTTTCTCAGACCAACATTGACTGTTGCTTGGTTTTTAGTACCTTCCAGACTTGCTAGGCAAGAACGGACTCTTAATGAAGTTGAGTGACCTGACTCAATCTGACCTTGAAGTTCGGAGGGCCGCAGTGCACTGTATGGCAAACTTATGTCTCAGGTATGTGGATCCAGCCGGGCCTCCTTGTAATGGTAAGATGGAACCTCTCGGGGACTCACTGAGGCTGGCTTTGTCTAGCTAAAGCCGGAGGCAACTGAGGAAAGTAACTTACTTTTATTTCCATTTTCCGTTTTCTTTGCTAAAAAGATCATCTTGTATTGCCTGTTTTTTAATTTTAATTTTGCTTGTAAAAATAAAGGTTATAAAGAAATGAGGGGAGAAATGGACTAGGATTATATTCCTAAAATATGAGAGAAGTGTTACATGGACAATACGTGAAGTCACTGTGTCCTGTGAGTATACACGCTAGTCGTGTTAACTGTTTTAGAAGGATGTATTCATTATGTAAATCTGGTGAGATTTAACTGTGATGGCCATATTCTTTCCAGGGAATGTAAATAAATTCCAGATGCATGCTCTAGATTCATGTAATGTAATGTGGAGAAACATACCTTCTTTTGTTTTGCTTCTTCTTCTCTCTCAAAGATTTATTTTTTATTGCAAAGGCAGATCTACAGGGAGAAGGAGAGACAGAAAGATATTCCATCTGCTGGTTCACTCCCCAAGTGGCCTCAACAGCCAGAGCTGAGCTGATCTGAAGCCAGGAACTTCCTTCAGGTCTCCCACGCAGGTGCAGGATCCCAAGGCTTTGGGTCATCCTCGACTGCTTTCCTAGGCCACAAACAGGGAGCTGGATGGGAAGTGGTACATCCAGGACACAAACTGGTGCCCATAGGAGATGTTGGTGCTTGCAGGTGGGAGAATTGCCAGTTGATCAATCACACTGGCCCCAAGATTTTACTTATTTGTTTATGTATTTATTTATTTGAAAGGGCGAGATAGGAAGGGATACATAGAGATCTTTCGCCCACTAGTGTACTTCCCAAATGGCTGTACCCAGAGACTAAAACCTGGAATAGCATCCGGGTCTCCTCGTGGGCGGCAGGGCCCACGTACTCGGAACATCTGCTGTTTTCCCAGGATCATTAGCAGAGAGCCACACAGGAAGCAGAGCAGCCGAGACTCGAATTGGAGCTCTAATATGAGATATCAGCACTCCAGGCTGCCAGTGAACCCACTGTGCCACAATGTGAGCCCAGCAGCACAAACTTGAACTTGTCTCTGTGTAGCACAGTGGTGTATAGTTCTTAGGCTCAGCTGCGCACTTCTGACATGACTGGACCTGTTTGCATTATTTTTCCCTCTTAGAATTGAAAATGATTTTCTTCTCCCATCCTTCTTCCAGACTTTGTAACTGCTTTCCATAGAAACTGCTGTTCTTTGTCTTCATCCCAACCATTGTGCCTGTCCCACAGCATTCGCTAAGTAACCAGTTTTCCACGGCATCTTTGTTGTTATTGCTGTTACTTTGTTAGTTTGCCAGTGGTCTTTGAAGAGAGACACTGGAGGTTGTTTTCTGTGTTCTAGTGCGCCAGGACAGCCAACCCTGGAGGAGCCCTACCAGAATGTCTGCTTCCAGGCCTTCCTGAAGACTTTACAATCTCCCAAATCACCTGATATGGATGATGTCACGTTCTGCATGGTAGGTCAACCATCACTGATCTTGGGAAGGTCAGAGTTGTCTAAAAGCAGGGTAGAACAGAGACCGTTAGCAAAGGGTTCGATTTGGCATCTGTGTTCCTTTTGTCTAGTAATATAAGCATAAATAGAGCTTACAAACTAAAATGATTGAAGTCATGCCTTTCTTTGGGCTGCAAGATTACAAGAAACTTATTTTTGTTTTTTTGTTTTTTTTTTTTGTTTCTTTGTTTTAATTATTTTCAGAGGGAGAGACAGACATAGGCATACAGTGTGTATACAGAGAGAGGGAGACCGCTCCATCCACTAGTCTGCTCCTCCGGTGCCCACGTCAGCTGCAGCAGGCTGAGCCACAGCTAGGAGCCGGGCGCTAAGTCTCTGCCTCCATGTGGGGACAGGAACACAGCTGTGCAAGCCGGAGTCAGAGACAGCAACCAGAGGGGGTGGGAGATGGCAGCTGTCTTAACCACTAAGCCGAATGCCCACGCCCTCCCACCCCACCCCACCCCACAAAAACCTTCACATTTTTCATATTTGTTTTGTTTTGCTTTTATTCTGAGATTCTAGCTTTTGAAAGATCGTTATATTCTTCTTTTTTCTCTCGGGTTTAAAATGTGTACCCAATGTAGTGGCTGTCATTGAGATAAAAAGGAAGAAAATAGATGGTAATAAAATCAGCAATATTGTATTTCTTTAAGGAAAGTTGATATAGACATGACAGCTTGCTAACATGTTCTGAAAAAAAGGTTTCTTTTTTTTTTTTATTGAAAAAGCAGAGTGACAGAGAAAAAATTCTTCCATCTGCTGACTCACTGCCTGAATGGCCATAGAAGCCGGGACTGGGCAAAGTGGAAGCCAGGGGCCTGGAACTTCGTTTGGGTCTCCCATGTGGTGCAGGGGCCCAAGCAGTCAAGCCATCTTCTGCTGCCTTCCCAGAGAGTTAGGTTGGAGGTGGAGCAGCCGGGACTCGAACTGGTGCTCTGATACGAAACGATAGCATTGCAAGCAGTTGCTTAGCTCACTGTGCACAGTGCCAGCCCCGAGGATTAGCTGATAGTCATTGTCACAATGATAGCTGATGGAATTTGAATTTTTTCCACATTTCACATCCTTTCTTGTGGAACATTTCTTAAGCACAGGGTCTCAGAAATGAGATTACAGTGTCCAGAAATCAGACTTAGGGAACCCTCTAGCATTTATCCTCTGCCCTTTGCCTGAAAGAGCCGCTGAGCTTCTGCATCACAGAGCTCTCCTTCTGACTTCCGTCACTTTTCAGCCTGTATGAGACTCCATCTCCTCTTCCTTCTTGCTGCCCACGTGTGCGTGCTGGTCTGTAACTGTACAGTAACATCGCTGAGGGAGAGTGCTCTTTTCTAGTGGCCCATCAGATCTAATCGCTGGATGTTCTTGTGTGCGCGTCTCTAGAGGGTTTTTCCTGTTGCCTGCAGACTTTTTCTTCTCTAACCTAAGCAGTGCTAAGAAGTGGGTCCCTGGACATGGAAATCTTACTCTGGCTTCTTGGTCTCTTTTCCTCCTAGTTGTTACAGAATGCATTAAAAGGTATACAGTCACTTCTCAATGGTGGCAAGATGAGACTGTCGCAGACGGATGAACTTGGAGCTCTTCTGGCTGTGCTGAAGGTGAGGCAAGTCTGCTTATCATCAGGGTTTTCCTACTCAGTCCCAGACACGAGGACCACCTTCCATCATCATTCTGAAGCTACATTTAAGATCTTGAAAGGTCTTAATATACTTAAAGAAAGCAAAACTAAGCGTTCACAATCAAGGACACTGTAAATAACTAGGAACAAAAAGCAACAAGTTTCCATTTAGCACCAAACTACCAGATGTCCCCATGACTCTTAGGACAGTCTCGCAAGTGTGACCTAGGGGTGCTCTACTTACAGGTGATCTTGAACCTGCTTGTTCTTGTAAGAAAAGCCAGGGCTTCACCTTGTCTTGCTCTGTAGAAGGCTGGCAGATCAAGGCGTGTCAGCAGGCCGCCATTGTCAGCTGTCCAGTAGTGGGACAAGTAGGCCCACCTCTCTGGAACCCAAAGGGGTTTCAGTTCAGCCAGGAGGCTCTGTCCTCAGGTCACTGCTGTGTGTAACACAGATCAAGAGGCTCATGCTTCCCTGTCCTGGATTTCCTTCTTTCAAACCAAATCAGGAAAGAAGGAGATAGGTAACTAAAGAAAATGACAAATTGATTGCAAAAAAAAAAAAAATCCTAGATAGATAAAATAATTGGGTAAAAAAATAAATATTTAAGTCAAATTTACAGAGAAAAGGAGAAATAGAAAGATACTGTGTCTGCTGGTTCATTCCCCAGGTGGCTGCAACGGCCAGAGCTGAGCTGATCTGATCTGCAGCCAGTAGCCAGGAGCTTCTTCTGGGTTTCCCATGTAGACACAGGCTCCCACGGCTTTGGGCTGTCCTCTACTGCTTTTCCAGGCCACAGGCAGGGAGCTGGAAGGGAAGTGGATTAGCTGGGACATGAATTGGCACCCATATGCATACAAGGCAAGGACTTTAGTCACTAAGCTGCTGTGCCAGGCCCTGGGTAAAAATTTTAGAAATGAAAAATAATGAGTAAACTAAAACCAACTTAAAGATCTGATCTGGCCAAACTGTATCCATCTGGGGATGAGAATAAGCTCTCCTTTAATCCCTAAATGGACTCTTTAATCATTTTTACTTGCTTAATAATTTTTAAACATTAATCTGTGTTCTGGCTCTGTCTTAGGGCTGACTATATTTTGTGTTTGATATTTCCTTACTCATCATCTTTAGAAATCCATGTTTCACGGACTCCCTGGACTAAGCCTGGAGATGCCCACAGTGTTGTACCCGACTCCACTGCCTCAGTATGACGGGCGGCCCCCCGTCCAGCCCCAGCAGCCAGAGTCCAGCGCTTCCCGACCGGCGGCGGTACGTCTCTGTCCATTGAGATGGTGGTTTGGAATTGTTTGAACCAACTTGACATGCGTCCATTGTGAGTTGCATGACTACTTCCCCCAAGGCCACCTTGAATTTGATTTCAGCTTTGGATTCCTAGTTGTTTAAATTCATCACACTGCTGAAAATATTAATTCAGATTATCTTTCACTTGTAAGGGTCTGGACAGCGAACAGTTCTAAAAACGAGCATTCATTTTATTTACAAAGCCAAGCGTTGTCATCCCCAAAATGCTCAAGGCTAGAAGTCAATAAACCTTGTGTGTAACAGGCTAGCAGATACTTTAGGCCTCTCACAGCCACCAGCCTGTAGTAACAATGCAACCCCAGGCGTCAGCACTGTGTAGGTGAGTAAGCATGGCTGTGTTCCAGTAAATCTCTGTTGTAGAGGGATTTGGTGTCTGGCCATACACTGCCTCTGTAGACCATTAAAAGCCCACCAGCTGATCTGCTCACTGCCTCCACCCCTACATCCACCAAGTCCCCCAGCCTTTCATTAGCTGACAACTCCCTCAAGCTTCGGTTGGAGAATTGAGCATACACATGTATGCCCCAGATTCCATTTTTTAAATTTATTTGTATTGGAAAGTCAGATATACATAGAGGAGGAGAGACCGAGAGGAACATCTTCCATCCGATGATTCACTCCCCAAGTGACCACAACGGTCAGTGCTGTGCTGATCTGAAGCCAGGAGCCAGGAACCTCCTCCGGGTCTCCCACACGGGTGCAGGGTCCCAAGGCTTTGGGCCGTCCTCGACTGCTTTCCCAGGCCACAAGCAGGGAGCTGGAAGGGAAGCAGAGCTGCCGGGATTAGAACTGGCGCCCATATGGGATCCCGGCGCTTTCAAGGCGGGGACTTTAGCTGCTAGGCCATGCCACTGGGCCCCCAGATTCCATTTTGAACATATGTTTCATTCCACTGTTCCATTCCTCAAATGGCTGTAACAGTCAGGCCTGGGCCTGGCCTAAGCCAGGAGCCTGGAACTCCATCTCAGACTCCCACATGGGTGACAGGGGCCCAAAAACTTGAGCCACACTCCCCTGCTTTCCCAGGTGTTTTAACAGGGAGCTGCATTAGAATTAGAGTAGCTGGCAAGTACAGTAAGCAGTGTTTACACCTGTACTCTGAGATGCCAGCATTGCAAGTGAAGGCTTGACTAATTGCTCTACAGTGCCAGCCCTGACCCAGGTTTGATACCAGGAAACATGGTACCTGATTAAACAAATAAAAACACTCAAAATTTGAAGCTCTTCCTGTCATTCACCTTTGGGTGCCGGACCTCTGCTGTATTGTCGGTGTTGTGCTGAGCGTTAAAGATCTGGCTCTAGCTGTTCTTTGAAGTTCAGAGAAGAAGACAGAGGTGCATAAACTCGAGCAGTGCAGTGTTCTGTCTCCAAAATACTCCCGGGGTGGAGGGACAGGAGGCGGGCAGGCGGGCAGGTGTTTGGTTTAGCAGTGAAGATGCTGCTTCAGGTTCCTACGGGTGCAGACCCTGTGAGGCAGTGATAAGGACCCGGGAGATGGGATCCCGGCCACCCACAGCAGAGACCTGGCATCAGCCTAAGGCTTTGGCCGACCCAGTGTTGTAGGGGAGTGAATCAGCAGGCGGGAGCACACGTTTTTTCTCTGTCATATACATACACGCTTACACACGTGCTTTCATTTCTCTCTCATGCACACACGCTGTAATACATAATCTCTCATTTTTGTCCAGCTGTCTAGCTGGCTGCCTCAGAAATTAATACATTTCTTTAAAACTAACAAAAAAGTACTGCTTTAAAAAACTGAAGAATAGTCATCTGGGTTCTCTGGGAACATGCTCAGGGCACACAATCCATGTAGAGCGAAGGACAAGGGTTTTTTTAGTCTTCCTGCTTAGCTGCGACTCCACTTGAACAGTGCTGCACAACAGGAGGGAAATGTTTCCTGCTGAAAGACAAGCTGCCTGAACAGAGGAGCTGAGGATGGGTTGATTAGTAGGGTGAAAGAAAAAAAAGAGCATTAGGGCAGCCCACCCATGAGATGCCAGGTCAGGGTGGTGGGCAGCCCTGGCCAAGCCGCAGGAAGCTGTACTCCAGTCCTGCTGCGCAGAGGAGTAGAGAGGCCAGCCTGATGGCTTCCCTGCTCCCAGGCAGACGGGGGTACTTCTCACTGGGTTACTGCACCTTACCAGGAAAGCCCCCATCATCCTTTGAACTTACGGCTGCACAGGAGCCCCAGCGAGGTGGGTGGGGGTCAGCTTCCTTCAGAGACGGCCAGGCTCAAGGTGGCCTCACTGTGGATCCCTGTCCCACAGCAAGCAAGTAAGAGGATGGGTCTTCGTCCGCAATGAGTGATTTAAGGTTGGAGTGAGGATTTTTCTTTGAGCCCTGAGAATTCAGAGAAAGGCACATATTTCAAATGATGCATAGACATATCCGAAAGAAGGAAATGAGAATAGACAAAGAAATTGGCTTTAATGTAGTATTTGCTTCTGTGTAGCACACAGTACGTGTGCTTTGCAGCAGCGTCTCCTGTGCCTGCGTCTCCAGTAGTACTGTGCAGAAGCACTGAGAAAGCAGGCACTCGGGCTGCTTCCTGTGCACTAACGCCCTTGTGAGTCCCAACTGAGAAGGCCAGGTGGCTGGCGCAGTCAGTGTGCGGGGTGGATGGCTTTGGCCTCAATCTTAAAGAAAAGGTCGGTTTAGAGAGGTTGTGTGATTTTTTTTTTTCCCCAGAGTCACAGAAGTAGAATTTAAATGCAGGCCACTTGTTGCTTTATCCTGTGTGTTTCGTAGCTTATCTCCTACCAGCCAGTAGGGTGTCTATGAGCATTTACCCTTAGCCTGGGTCCGTGTATTCAGGAAGTAAAGTTCTTTCTTTTCTCCTCTTTTTTCCTTCCTTCTTCAAGTTATGTGTTGGGAACTATTCAATTGCATTCAAACGAGGAATACCAGTGATTTAGTTGTATTTATCAGCTAATTACTTAATTATTCGAGAGACAGAGAGCTCCCTTCAGCTGGTTCAGTGCACAAATGCCTGGCAGTGGCTGGGGTTGGAGCATGCCAAGGCTGCGAGCTGGGCGTGCATGCCGGGGCTCCCGCGTTGATTGCAGGCCCCGGCAGCTCCAGCCTTCCCGCTGCTTTCCTGGAGGCTCGTTAGCAGGAAGCTGGAATTAGCAACACAGCTGCGGATGTGACTGTGCTAACCTCTCAGTCAGATGTTTCCCCTGAAAACTACTTGGGAATCTATCTCATATATATGTCTTTATTTGCTTGTAAAATTAGAACAAGAAGAAAAAATCCAAAGTAAAACCAAAGAAAACCCAGCAAGGCGAGGAGGAGGAGGATGACGACGAATCCGGTGGTGAAGCAGAAGCAAAGCCAGCCGGTGGCATGGGCAAAATGACCTGGCCTGGAGGGGCCCCGCGCTGTGCTGCCCCCCTGGGCCATGGGGGTCCCCCTCTAGATGGGGGCGGGGCTGCAGCAAAGGGTTGCACCTCCTCTTTCAACGCTTCCAGTTGGAAAAAGCTCAGCAGCAGTGAGTCGGACTATTCTGATGCCGAGGGAGGCGTGCAGAGTAAAATGAGGTAGTAGTATTTTGTTACACCTCCGCAGCTTGCGTGGAAGTGTGTGACTATCTGAAGACCCGGGGTGGGCGTTCTCTGCGGGGGCTCCCGCGTCCTCTGGAGGTGCTTTGTTCCCTTGGTGTGCCTGTGCGCATGATCCCCCTGGATCCTCCTTCACTTTCTGTTGTTTTCACCCTTTGTCTTTGGCACCCCTGTTTATCTTCAGCATGAGCTCAGAGGTCCTGCTTCCTGGGACCCCTGCTCTAACTGCACAGCTCCCCCTCGCTTAGGTTAAGTGCCCTGTGTGTTACAGTTCTGACTGTCCGTGGCTTGTCAAGGGCCTGGACATTGCTCGTGTCTGACAGCCTCGTGTAACGCCTGGCACGCGCCCGCGGCCTGGGGTGGGCGTGCAGGACGGGAGTGTCATCTGTGCTGTGACACATCCAGCACCTGTTGTCTAACATCCTGGTGCTGCCTCTTCCATGCGTGAAGCTGTGCTTTCTTGTGCTGTAATGTATCCCAACTGCCTTTGTGTGGGCAAGGATTTTTTTTTCTATCCCATTATTCAGAGTTGAATCACCTGCAGTCAATAGCATTTCTTGCTTGCATCTTAAAAAAGCTGCTTTAAAACTTTCTTTTCTTCCATCTCACTGTAAAAGGTCTTACCAAGCCAAAGTTCGCCAAGGAGCGTTAGCCTGTTTTCTTTCTACCATAAAATCAATAGAAAAAAAAGTTCTGTATGGCTACTGGTCAGCCTTCGTTCCTGACACGCCTGAGCTCGGAAGCCCGCAGTCTGTGTCCCTGATGACCCTTACGCTGAAGGACCCTTCCCCAAAGGTAAGAGCGCTTACTCGCCAAGGTGACCGGAAGAGCACTTCACAAGTCTCTGTTGTCGTCTCTGCCCTCTCTGCTCTCGGCTGAATGCCACTCTGATGAATAGCCACCCAAGCCCTGTTTGAGCATCACAGGCAGGCAAAGAATCGGACCAGGGTTTCTGCGAATGACCTGTCGGAGGAGATCCTATGGGGGTCACCTCCTGCCCTAGGCCTGCTGGGAGCCACAGCACCCCGAGTTACAGCCTGGTTGTGTGCTGTGAGTGGCACTGAAGCGGCTGTGCTCCAAGCCTGTCTTGAAAGTGTTGGCAGTCAGGACGTGCACACCAGCAAGAGTCAGTGGGAGACAGCCTCCGCAAGTCACTGCAGTGTCATGGCCCATACTGGGCAGGAAGTATGTATCTGACTTGGAAAAACAGTCATGTTTTAGGAAAGCACAGAATTTGAAATGGTATTTTTAGTAAAATCCCAACAGGGCGCTTTTTTTTTCACTTTTTCATATTTTTGAATTGCATGTAATAAACATTTACATGTATTGAAGAGAAAAAATGATCTTTTAGAAAGAAGCAAAATGACCTAGTAGTCATAGATAGCCACAGTATGGTACCCCAAGGCGGGTCAGATTTTTGCCTCTATTGGGGATCTTTCCAGAACTGAGTCTTGTAAGCAAGTAAGGAAAGGAGCTGTTGATTCCCTTGCTATAAGGAAGATGAGGAAGTCATGTGGACGACCATCTGGGTGTCCTCAGGTGGCCAGTTACCCACTCTGAATCACTGTAGTTAGCCAATAATATAGAATGCCTTTCCTTTATATATATATATATTATTTATTTATCTATCTATTTATTAATTTAAAAGGTAGAGTTAGAGAAGGAGAGAGAGAGAGAGAGCTCTTCCATTGGCTGGTTCATTCTTCAAATGACCGAAACTGCTGGGCCAAAGTGGACCAGGCTGAAGTCAGCATTCAGGAGCTTCTTCCAAATCTCCCATGTGGCAAGAGCCCATGGACTTGGGTCATGATCCACTGCTTTCCCAGGCACATTAGCAGGGAGCTAGGTCAGAAGTAGAGCAGTTGGGACTTGAACTGGCGCCCACATGTGATGCTGGCACTTAAGGCAGCAGTTTTACACACTATGCCACTGCACTGACTCCTTTTCTGTTTTTAAGATGTTCCCTTAAGTTGGGAAATGGGAGGGAGCTGAGTAATCCACGTGACATTGAAACACCCTTTGATCATCTCCTGGAAGAGCTGCTTATATCAGAAGACTTCTAGATGACCCTTCAAAAGCTTTTGCACGGTTGAGAAAAATAAGATCATTTCAGTTCTACATGGGAGGTGTTTGGTAGGTGTTAAGGAAAGTTTCAGAGGTGACATTTGCACCAAATCTTAAGAGCCAAGGATTTGGATGGGGAGGGAAAGAACAATGTAATTCCAAGATGAGGGACGGCCTGATGTTGTCAAGGTGCAGCTGCCAGAGTGCCTAGTATCCTAAATAGTTAAACCAAAAATTTTACAGGTGAACTGAATCAATAGTAAATGAGAACCCAGGAGAAAAATAAGCCTTCTGGAAATTTGCATGCAAAAATAGAAAGTACCAGTTCAGGGCTGGCACTGTGCAGTGCGTTAAGCCGCTACTTGCAATGGTAGTATCCCTTATCAGAGTGCCATTTTAAGCATCGGCTGCTCTGCTTCTGATCCAGCTTCCTGCAGTTATGCCTGGAAAGGCTGCAAAAGAAGGCCTTAAAAATACTTGTGCTAGGGGCTTAGCACAGTAGCCTAGCAGTTGAAGTCCTTACCGTGCATGCACCAGCATCCCAAATGGACGCTGGTTCTAATCCCAGTGGCCCACTTCCCATCTAGCTCCCTGCTTGTGGCCTGGGAAAGCAGTGGAGGATGGCCCAAAGCCTTGGGACCCTGTACCCACATGGGAGACCTAGAAGAAGCTCTTGGCTTTGGGTTGGCTCAGCTTGGCTCTGGTTGTTGCAGCCACTTGGGGGTGAGTCAGTAGATGGAGGATCTTCCTCTCTCTCTCTTCCTCTGTATATGTGACTTTCCAATTAAAAAGAAATCTTAAAAAAAAAATACTTTTGCTTCTGCCAGCTGGAATTGTTAGCTCCCTATTTCAGCCTGACCCAGACCTGTATGTTGGAGCCATTATGGAAATGTGCCATACGTGGAAGATTTATCTCTTTCCCTCTCTCTTCTTAATAAACCATCTTTTTTTTTTAGATTTATTTATTTTTATTGTAAAGGGAGATTCACAGGGAGAGATGAAGATCTGTTCCCTGGTTCACTGCAATGGCCAGAGCTGAGCCGATCCGGAGCCGCCTCCAGGTCTCCCACATGCATGCAGGGTCCCAAGGTTTTGAGCTGTCCTCTGCTCTTTCCCAGGCCACTAGCAGGGAGCTAGACGGGAAGTGGAGCAGCCGGGACATGCATGGTACCCATATGAGATCTTAGTGTCTGCAAGGCAAGGATTTAGGCACTGAGCCATGGTGCCAGGCCTTAAATAGTCTTTAAAACAAGTAAAAGCAGCGGATCCTGTGTTGGTTGGAGCAGCGTCTGGATTGATGAGAAATAATGAAAATGAGCAGCCGTGTGCACAAGGCCAAGGGTCATCGTCATTCAGGAGCTTGGTCTGCATGTAGAGCTGCCTGGCTGTGTTTCTCCCAGGCAGCCGAGACAGGTGATAGCGCAAGTCCTGGGTCCTTGCCATGAGAGAGGCTTGGACTGAGCTCCTGGCTTGAGGCTTTATTTAGCTTGGCCTACTTCCTGCTATGGCAGGCATTTGGGAGACTTCTCATTCTTTCTCTCAAGCAGGTTAAAGAAATGAACAAAAACTTTAAAAACCCAACACGACTAATGTAAGAATGTCATCTGTATGATTTTCCCATGTGTTCTTAAAGCATATCATCAGAGACACTCATCAAGACTTCAGCTCTGGGACATATTTCCCTCTTGGTATCTTGAGAATTATGTTGACTTTCAAGTTCCTTCATGAATATTCATTTTTCTTTTAGATAACTCTGAAAGATGGGAACAAATCTGAATCTAGAAAATAGCATAACTAGAAAAGAGAAAGAAAATATTGAGATTTTTAACAGCGATGGACTTGTAGGTAGCTAGGTCTTTTGTAAGAACAGATGGCCTTTGCTGCAGTGACCCAAATCCAGAGACTCTGACTTGATATTGGCATGCCTCCACATGAAAGCCAACTTCTCATGTGGATGGCAATCGGGGCTTGAACACAGCCCTGCATGGAGACTTCAGTGAGAGCATTCCTGGCAGGAACTTACAGAAATGTTGTGACACAAAATCGGGGGCCATGCAGGAAGCAACTGAGCTCCATCAGCAAACATTTCTGCTACATTCGTAACTAGCAGAGAAACAATAAGTGCTTTTCTGTTTATGTTATCTTTAAACAAGTCTTTAAGGAATGAAACTGCATGTGAGTGAAAAGCGCAGTGATGCTCATAGGGTCAAAGCATTTCATCATTGTAAGTGTGCGTGGGATAAGATCTTAGTGCACAAAATGAGCTCTGTGCAGAGCTGCACCTGTTAGGGTTAGCATGCACGTGCAGTAGTTCCTGCTGAAAGTGCTGGCTATTAAATATTGATGTAAAAATTAAGTGATCGGATACAGTATGGTAACAATTTTATAATAGCAAATAAAAGTAGACTTTTGTTTCCTATACCTGAAACTGTCTCTGAAAGTCAGATGTCTAATGATGAGTGCCAAATTGAAGGGACATTAAGATGCCTGATGTTTAACACAAAGCACTTAGGTGCCTGAGAGGATGATCCAAAACAGAATTTTCTCAGCAACTTTAAAATCAAACAGGTGCCAGATACTTATAGTTTTTCTAACCCATGATCAGTTTTTTGTTTAAGATTTATTTATTTATTTATTTATTTATTTATTTGGAAAGGCAGATTTACAGAGAGGAAAGACCGAGAGAAAGATCTTCCATCTGCTGTTTCCCTCCAGTCATGGCTGCAGTGCCAGAGGCTGAGCCAGTCCAGAACCAGCAGCCCCATCTGGAGCCCTTGTGTGGGTGCAGGGTTCAAAAGATTGGCACTGTCCTCCACTGCTTTCCCAGGCCATAAGCAAGGAGCTGGATAGGAAATGGAGCAGTCAGGACAGGAACTGGCGCCCATGTGGGTTCCCAGTGCGTGGAGGTGGAGGATTAGCAGGTTGAGCACCCCCCGCCAACCACTATGTTCCGTTTTGTTCTGTCTTCTCAGTTGGCCTGGTGTTTAAATGAACCAGGGCCCTGATTACGTGATTTTTGTGGTTAGGTTTCTGTGGGTTTGGTGCTGTGGGTTAGCTTAGGTATATTCCTTACTGCAAGGAAACTTAACAGCCATGTTATTGAGGATGGTTTGGTTAAGTGTGGGGTGGAAATGGCCTACTTCATGGCTGCCTTTAGTATTTGATAGGGCCTGGTACGATGCCTCAGTGGCTAAATCCTTACCTTGCAAACACCAAGATCCCATATGAGCACTGGTTCATGACCAGGCCGTTCCATTTCCCTCCCAGCTCCCAGTGGCCTGGGAAAGCAATAGAGAATGACCCTAAGCCTTGGGAGCCTGCACCCACATGGGAGACCCGGAAGAAGCTCCTGGCTTCAAATCAGCTGAGCTCTGTCCATTGCAGCCATTTGGGGAGTGAACCAGCGATGGAGGATCTTTCTGTCTCTCCTTCTCTATTAATCTGTCTTTCCAAAAAAAGAAAGAAAGAAATCTTTAAATAGATAATCCCATTGCCTTTATTCTTTTAATTAAATAGACACTTTGAATGCCAAATTCCAATTTTTAACTGAGCACTGTGAATCCTTCTGAACTTTCAGACACGGGCCTGTGCCCTCCAGGTTTTGTCTGCCATCTTGGAAGGCTCAAAACAGTTTCTCTCCGTTGCCGAAGATACCAGTGACCACAGAAGGGCCTTTACTCCGTTCTCTGTGATGGTCGCGTCCAGCGTCCGAGAGCTGCACAGGTGTCTGCTCCTGGCCCTCGTGGCAGAGTCCTCCTCTCAGACCCTCACTCAGATCATTAAGGTAAATGGGCCAGGCCCTCGGGGCTGTCCAGAGGGGGTTTCTTGATTTGTTTTGTGTAATGTTTTACATAACTCAAAAATAACTTGAGATTATAATATAAAGGAGCAATAATTTTGTGAAAGCTACGCTGTTTGGAAGTCTGTACCTTTCTGCCTGATTTACACATTCTCTGTCAAGCAAATGACTTTATCTGTTGTATTAAGTTGTCTCATAAAAATGCAAATGTTACTTAAAAAAGATGAAAAAGAACCTGTTTTCAAGTATATGTAAAGGCTCTTCTTTTCAATTATATGCTATACAGTTCTGTTTCTGTGCTATGGTTCAGGCAGGCGTATTGATGAGCCAATATTTTCTGGTTTACAGTGCCTTGCAAATCTGGTCTCAAACGCACCTTATAACCGTCTGAAGTTCAGCTTGCTGACTAAAGTCTGGAATCAGATAAAGCCTTACATCCGTCACAAAGGTTGGTAGTGGTTTAAAACTAATAGCTTCTCAGGCCCGGTGCGGTAGGTAGCCTAGTGGCTAAAGTCCTCACCTTGCCCACACCAGGATCCCAAATGGGCACTAGTTCATTTCCTGGCTGCTCCACTCCCCATCCAGCTCCCTACTTGTGGCCTGGGAAAGCAGTTGAGGATGGCCCAAAGCCTTGGGACCCTGCACCCACGTGGGAGCGCCAGAGGAAGCTCCTGGGTCCTGGCTTCGGCTCGGCTCCAGCCATTGCAGCCGTGTCTGGAATGAATCAGCGAATGGAAGGTCTTTGTGTCTCTCCTCTCTGGAAACCTTGACTTTCCAGAGAGAAGTCTTAGAAAAACAAAAATAGATTTTTTTTACAGAAATTTATTTACTGTGAAAGTGAGAGCTAGAGAGAGATATCTTGCGTCCTCTGGTTTACTCCATAGATGGCCACAGCATCCAGCATAGGGCCAGGCCAAAACCACGAGCTTTGTCTGGACCTTCCATGTGGGTGTCCGGGTCCACTTGTTTGGGCCATCTTCTGCTTTTTCCCCCAGGCCATTAGCAAGGAACCACATATGAAGTAGAACAGCTGAACACAAACTGGTGTCCATATGAGTTGCTGGCATTGCAAACAGTGGCTTGCTTACTGCACCACACAGCTGGCCCCTAAACTAGCATCTTTTTTAATTTGCAATGCAAAGTTACAAAGAGAAAGAGAAGCAGTGAAAGAGCTTCCATCTACTAGCTCACACCCCCAAAGGGCAAGCTGGAAAAGGCTGGAGCTGAGCCAGTCTGAAGTCAGGAGCCTCTCGGTCTCCCATGTAGGGGCAGGAGCCTAAGGACCTGAACCATTCTCCACTACTTTGCCAGGCCCTGAGCAGGGAGCTGCATCGGAAGTGGAGCAGCCACATGGGCTGCTGATGCTGCAGGCAAAGGCTTAAGTCTATTACATCACAGCATCTTTACTTCCTCTGAAGTTGAGATACAATCCAGAGCTTCAGGTCCACACTGATCAGAGTCCACTTATTATTCCTTTTAAACACTTTAGGATGTTTCTTGTTCCTTCACATACAGACTTTCAGATGAGACCGGATTTGGATGAGCCAAGTTTGCCTTTCAGAATTGTAGAGCAGAATGAAGTTCACGTGTTCTCTGGGACGCTGCGGCAGGTGCGCTGGACCTGGAGTTGGTCCAAGGGTCTGCAGCCTGCTCCCACTTTTTTTGCTATCTTGTAGTCATGGGCTCCTGAGCCCCAGTGTCCTGCTGACAGGAAGATTCTCCCTGCCTCCTGAGAGTGATGAGGCTCTCACGAGGTAATGAGGTATAAACTAAGACCAGCCTGCCTTAACACCTGTGTATGAAGTTGCACCCAGAAAGATAGAGCTTGCCTTCAAGTCTCATTACATCAGCGGCAGAAAGAAGATGACAATGGCCCAAGTGTCCAGACTCGGTCGGCCGCCTGTTCTGTTGCACCATTTACTTATGTCTTTGAGCAAAATATATCATGTCTTAAAATCATCTTTTTTTTTTTTTTTAAGATTTATTTTTACTGGCAAGGCAGGTTTACAGAGAAAAGGAAAGATCTTAATTGTTTCTAGAACAACTGTTAGATCGTTGCCGTGGCTGTTCCCGTGGTGATGGGCCCTTACTGTTTTCTTCAACAGACGTTAACGTGCGCGTGTCGAGTCTCACGCTCTTGGGAGCGATAGTGTCCGCTCATGCGCCCTTACCTGAAGTCCAGCTGCTTCTACAGCAGCCCTGTTCTTTTGGATTTAGTAACAGCAATTCGGCTGCTCCTCACCTCTGCACTCCTGATTGGTGGAAGAAAGCCCCGCCTGGAGCCCCCCTGGAGGAGGCGTCGCTGAGCTCCCCGAAGGGCCCCTCGGAGCCCTGCTGGCTCATCCGACTCTGCATTTCCACTGTTGTGCTGCCCAGGGAGGACGCGGGTGGCACTGCCAGCTCCACCGCGGGGAGCCTCTATGAGCCACTTCCCATGCGGCTGGAGGCCCTACAGGTAGGCTTCATTTCCTCAGCTCTGCAGTGGGAGGCGCCACCACTCCTTCCGGGGCGAGTTTGAGCACCAAGCATGAGGAAACAGTGTAAGCCAGCCCTGTGACAGTGGGGCTGCGGGGAGGGCTGCTTCAGGAGTGGGTGAGCGTTTTTGTTGGTGGTTGGAGAGGACGGAGTCCTTGATCTCAGAGTGTCCCGTCCGTTCCTCTTTGACCTTTGTCGCTGCTTTTATCACCTCAGATATTACCTGACATGTGCGTCTAATTGTGTAATAATTCTGAAGGAATACATTCAGTTAAACTGCGATTCCTTCAACTTAACGTTAAATGTTTCACTCTCTAAAAATTTCCTTATTAAAACTTCCTTATCGTTTTGTATCTGGTTAAAGAAACAAAATAATTGCTTTTTCATAGAAGGAAAACGCTCCTGGGGAGAAGTGTCTCCTTTCTTCTGTATCCAGGAGTGATCCAAGGTGGAGGCGTGTCCTAGCGTCCGCATAGCACCAAACAATCTTTAACTTTTAAACCACCTTTTGACTTTTAACCTTCCAATGGAAAAAATAATTAAGATTTCTTTATTTTTATTGGAAAGTCAGATTTATAGAGAGTAAAGGCGGAAAGATCTTCCTTCCACTGGTTCACGCCCCAAGTGGCTGCGATGGTCAGAGCTGAGCCAGTCTGAAGCCAGCAGCCAGGAGCTCTTCTGGGTCTCCTACGTGGGTACAGGGTCCCAAGGCTTTGGGCCATCCTCCACTGCCATCCCAGGCCAAAAAGAGGGAGCTAGATGGGAAGTAGAGCAGCCAGGATACAAACTGGCACCCGTATGGGATCCCGGCGCATGCAAGGAGAGGACTTGAGCTGCTAGGCTACCGCATCGGGCCCTCCAATGTCAAATTTAATATCTACCTTAGTCGGTTATTCTGAGAGACTTAAATGAGCTCACACTGATAGAAGATGATCATTAACTAAAATGCTATGAATCAGGTAAAGTAGAGGTCATGGTTGTTCTTCAGGTTGGGCAACATCATTTCCAGCCCCTTGTTAAATGTGATTTCTGAAATAATGCACCATTGTTCTGGCTCCCGCAGCCTGTGTTACATCTCGGGCAACCTCACTGCTTTCCCTGCAGGTTTTGGCTCACCTGGCAAGGGGCTACTTTTCCACGGCACAGGTCTATTTGATGGAGCTCGGAGAGGTGATTTGCAAGTGCATGGCAGAGGCTGACCCTCCTATTCAGCTTCATGGAGCAAAGGTAATTTCTGTGAGACCCACATGCCGCTGCCTTCACTTTGTAGTGCCCGCCCGCCCGCGGCCGTGGGTTCTGAGACTGGCTATGGGGCTCTCAGACATTCTCACAGCGTTTTCCCGTAAGCCCACATAATTGATTTAATAATAGATTAAGAATGGATAGCTGCTGGTTGTGGTTCTTTTTTTTTAAGATGTATTTTATTTATTGGAAAGTCAGATATACAGAGAGGAGGAGAGACAGAGAGGAAGATCTTCCGTCCGATAATTCACTCCACAAGTGACCACAACAGCTGGTGCTACGCTGATCCGAAGCCAGGAGCCAGGAACTTCTTCCAGGTCTCCCACACGGGTGCAGGGTCCCAAGGCTTTGGGCCGTCCTCGACTGCTTTCCCAGGCCACAAGCAGGGAGCTGGATGGGAAGCGGAGCTGCCGGGATTAGAACCGGTACCCACATGGGATCCCGGCACTTTCAAGGCGAGGACTTTAGCCACTAGGCCACGCCGCCGGGCCCTGGTTGTGTTTCTTGAAGAAGGCCTCTAGTATACAAGTTCTGAGAAGGAAAAGAAAATCAATTGGAAGCTTTTTTTCCCTCCTGAATGAGGTGATGTCCAGAGAGAAGCGGATTATACCCTCCATGGTCCTGATGATCTGCTCTGATAAATTGATTTTGGCAGCTTCTGGAAGAACTGGGTACAGGCTTAATTCAGCAGTATAAGCCAGATTCCACCGTAGAACCTCAGCAGCGAGTACCAGTCGCCTTGGTAAGTAAATGTCAATAAACAGTTCTTTATTTTTACATTTATTTATGTATGTATTTATTGAAAGTCAGAGTTACAGAGGGGGAGGGAAAGAGACAGAGCTTCCATCTTCTGGTTTGCTCCGCAGGTGGCTGCAGCAGCCGGGGTGCCCAAAGCCAGGAGCTTCCTCTGGCTCTCCCGCAGGGTGGCAGGGGCCCAGGCACTTGGGTCATTTTCAGTTGCTTTTCTCAGGTGCCTCAGAAGCAGTTTCATTTTGAGGCTCAGTGATAAAATGGAGTAGACGGTTTCTTCCAGTATCAAAAGTCATGGCTTATAGTCTAGGGTGAGTGAAGCCAGCTTGAATGGATTTTACTTGCATTTTATTATGCGTATAACCTGCAGTGATAAGTCAGTATTTCTTCAGTCCAAAATCTAGTTTGTTCAGCCCTCCCAGAAGCCAGCAGTAATGGTGGGAAGACCCTAAGAGAGTGACTCAGAATGCCTGGGACCCCTTACAGGACGCCTCCCCGACGGAGGTGTGGTTCTGAGTACTCTCCCCAGCTTGCAGAGGAATCCCTGACTCACAGGGCTGTTGGAGAATCAAATGGAATGATGCCAGCACGTAGCAGGTGCCCAGTGACTGCTTGCGCCCCTAACTCTCCCCAGTGCTGATTCCTCTGCCTTTGGATTGTTCCTGCATCTCCATCCTGTGCTGCTTCTCCCCACAAGGGGCACCAGCAAAGGGCCTGCCCAGTGCCACAGCCAAGGCCACTCGGTGTCAGCAATGGCTTCTCCCTGTGTCCCCCTCGCAGTGTCTCATCTTTTCATCATTTCTGTCATCCTTGTGAATTAAAAATGTCTGCCTCCAGTGCCTACACTAGGCCACCAGATAAAGCTTTCAATTTGGGGAAAACTGAGATGAACTTTGTTATCAATCAAAACTAAGTTTTTTATTTAAAAAATACAGTTAATTTATTTCAAAGGCGGAAGGTCAGGGGAAGAGAGAATCTTCCATCCGCTGCTTCACTCTCCAGATGCCCAGAACAACCAGGGCTGGGCACAACTGAAACCAGAAGCCAGGAATTCCCTCCCAGTCTCCAACATGCGTGTCAGGGGCCTGTGTACGCCAGCCGTTTGCTTGTCCCAATGCAGTTGGTAAAAGCTGAATCAGAAGCATCGAGGGCTCAAGGCAGCACTTGATACGGGTGTAGGCAAGCCCACTGAACTGTCCTTAAAGTGGGGTGTGAATCTAAGCTTCTCCCCTCCTGGACAAGTGACCGTAGGCGAGCCTCTTAGTTATTCACACTCAGAAGTTGTTGCAGTTGTAAAAAATGTTTACTTTCTGTAGTACTCATCTAAGTAAGACATTAACTCTACACATTGAGCAGCTTAAAAGAGTGTCCTCCTCTCACACATCTGCAGATCAAGAGTTGATGAGTGAGTGGGTGAGTGGGTCTGGCTCAGGCCTCGTGGGATTGATCATGGTGTCACCCAAGGACTGTTGTTTCCTGAAGTCGGTGTATGGGAGCTGGGGTCCTTTCTTGCAACATGTCCCACTCGGGCACCCATTGAGTCTGTGCTGGCTGTTGGCCAAGGGCCTCCCTCTGCTCCTCCCCAGGAGGCCCTCTCAGCCACCACCCCCACAGCCAGCAATCCAGAGAAGAAGCAAGGCCAACCCACGGTGACCTGGCCCCAGAGGATGCTCTCCATTGCACAGCATGCTTTTGGGCACCTGTGTGTTGGGGAAGAACCCAGAATGGAGTTCCCGGAGCTGAGGTAGAAGGTCCGAACTGGTGCTTAAAACATACCGTGAAGCCCAAGTCAGAGCAGCCGTTTAGCAGAGCAGTTGGGACGGGACTTGGACCCACAGCTGCGTGTCTGAAGTGCCTGGGTTGGAGTGCTGCCTCAGCTCCAGTTCCAGCTTCCTGCTAACGTGCTCCTTCGCAGGCAGTGGTGATGACTCAGATACTTTCGATTTCTGTTTCTTGCCACCTACTTGGAAGAGATCCAGATCGATTTCCTAGCTCCGTACTTTGGCTGCAACCTGTCTGTGTCTGTCTCTCTCTTGCTCACTGTCTTTCAGGAAAAAAAAAAAGACAAATCCAGGACTAAGTCTATGAAATGAAAGCTGGGATACAAAACCCGAGATTTGCAAACAGAAGTCTAATCCCCTGCTTCTCAGAAGCGTAGACAGGACACTGTTTGTTGTCGCGTCCTTTGAAGGGAGAACATTCTTCCGGGTCCCAAGTTAAGAGTGTCTGCTGTGTGTCTATCCTTGTGCTTGGAACTTCACGCACAGTGTCTTGTTTTGTTGTCACACATCCTCTGCAGGAAGTCCTGTTTCCTTTTCTGTTGAAAAGGAAGCGAGTTTAAGAAGCAAGGTTGCCAGTCAGGAAGCAGCAGCTAAAGGACCCATTCCCAGCTCTGCCTCTGGATCCTGTGCTCCTTGGAGTCAAGCACGCAGCTGCCAACTGCTCTGGGACCCGGATCCTTGCACCCATGGGGCACCCGCTTAGAAAAACACTAGCCAAGTATCAAGGACTGGATTCTCATTGACCCCTGCTGCCAGTCAGCTGGTTGTACTCGAGTTATCTTTGTTGTTCACTTCTTTGTGTGAAAATGGGAATAGCTTCATTTAGCTATGCCGAGGATTGAAATGCATTGATGATGACATAGGCATCTGACTCAGTGGTTAAGCCGCCAGTTAGAACACCTGCTTCCGTATCGGAGTGTTTGGGTTCAAGTCCCAGTTCTGGCTCTCTACTCCAGCCCCCTGCTAGTGCAGATCCTGGGAGCAGTGTGCCCACATGGGAGCCCTGGATTGTGTTCCTGGATCCCAATTGCTGCCTGACCTAGTCCCAGGCATTTGGGAATGAACCAGCAGATGGGAACTCTCAGACTCTGTGTCTTGGGGGGGCGGGGGCGGGGAGGAAGAAATTGAGTGAATTGATAAAGAACGTCAAGTGCTTAGGACAAGGTCTAGACTGTGATAAACTCTGAAAAACAGCTGCTACAACACCGTCATCATCCTCACCCTCACTATTGTTACTGTTGCTACTTTATCAATCTGTAGTTGTTTGCTGAAGTCCCTTTCTCACCATTGGAGGACAGTCAGGGAGGGTATTTACAGAAAGCCACTACTGCAAGCAGAATGTGTGGTTCCTGAGGTCCTTTCTGGGGCGCCTGACGTCACCTTGGCTCCCGTCTGAACTGTACCTCCATTGCAGGTGGTGATGTTCTGGACCATGATGCTCAATGGTCCTTTACCCAGAGCCCTCCAGAATTCAGAGCACCCCACACTACAGGCGAGCGCCTGCGATGCCCTGTCCTCCATCCTACCAGAGGCCTTCAGCAGTCTGTCGGTAACTTGAGGGGGGTTTTCTCACCCAAACTGATGGTCTTGAATCTGATTCTTCTTCATTTTGAACGCAGTTCAACAACATTCCTCAGGGAAACGTGTTTGGGGTTAAGGGCATTGGAAATCGGACTGTCTCAGAACAGCGTGTCTTACCTGGCTGTAGCAGGTGGATGGTAGAAGTGAGAGTGTCAGGGGCCCTGAAGGCAGAGGTGTTTCAGCCAGATGCCAGAGTTTACAAGACCTGGGCCTGAATCCTAGCTTTTTACAGCTTCTGCTCCCCGGCTTTCTTCTCTACAACTTCATAGCATCATCTGTGAGATGAGAAGTGGGTGAGACGTAACGTAAGATGTATGAGAACACTTGGGCTCGGTGCCCGCCCCATGTGGGGTTTATCTTAGGCTGCCTGGGCTGGATGGCCCCCCAACAGCAGGACCTTCTTTCATGTGGGCCTGGAGGCCGGGAAGGCCAGGCTCAGGGCACCGGCAGCTCTGGTGTGCAGCCAGGGGCTCTGGTTCCTGGTGGATGGGCAGGGCTGCCCTCTGGGCCCCTCATCTAGGGACACTAGTCCATCCCTGCAGGCTCTGCCCCAGTGACCTCGTTCCCTCATGTTGCATCCCTGTGCGGGCCGGGGGTTTCCGCATGGGAACCCAGTTGGGGGGAAACAAGCATTTCTGGCACAGCAGGCTCAGGGTTCCCCTTTGCTCCCGTCCTCGGGCACACTGGGCATCCACTCTTCTTGCCTATAGACTGTGACTTGGCTCACGTGGTGAAGGCTCCGTGTGATGGGAACCGTGTGCCTTGTGCAGAGCCGACCCTCGGGTCACTGCTGAACCATGGTTAAGCCTGCTCTTCTGCAAGACAGGCTGGCAGCCCCGAGTCCAGACTCCCACCGCATGTCCAGGGCCGTGTGGTGGACCTCAGCCTGTGACAGTGTCTCAGGCCCTCCTCGCCCTCTCATTGCAGAGCGACAGGCAAATGCTGTGCATCACCGTGCTGCTCGGGCTGAGTGACAGCAAGAACCGCCTTGTGAAAGCCTCCACCTCGCGGGCCCTGGGGGTCTACGTGCTGTTCCCCTGCCTCAGACAGGTCAGCCCAAGCCCCGGTGTGTGAGTGCAGAGCTCCTCTGAGGTGGGCCAGGAAAGCAAGCTGAATCGCCCCATGAGCTGGTTGTCTCTGAAACGTGTGTGGTGAGCGGGATGCTGGCCCAGGACCCGTGGATAAGTGCCACGGGCCAGGTGTCAAGGGGTTCACTAGCCAAATCCATGGGCTTCTCAGGCAGCCATATACACCACAGAATCGTGGGAGAGCTCCCCTGGGATATTACCCAGGGGCCGAATTGTAACATGAGAAGAATGGTGTACTGGCTGAGTAAATGAATTTTCATTTCCAAATTGGAATTTGTTGTCGAGGCTTCTAACCCGTATCTGAAAGTAAAATTGTGAATTTCAAAGGTGGTAGGGCGAGCCCCTGAAGTAACATGGTGTTTGGTTTTGCTTATCTTATAGGATGTCATCTTTGTTGCAGACACAGCAAACGCCATCCTGATGTCACTCCAAGACAAATCTGTGAATGTCCGAGCCAAAGCAGCCTGGTCCCTGGCCAACCTGACAGACACTCTGATCGTCAACCTGTAGGTGACTCGGCTCGGCCCTCGCGGGGGACCCCGGGGCCGGCGGACGGGGAACATACCTCGGAGGCCTGCGGTCACGGAATTAGCAGTGATCTTCCTGCATTTTGCAGAAAGTCTTTCTGCTTTGTTTTGGTTTAAAGTTCTTCAAGTAACAGGATCAATAAGCTACTAATTACACGTACATGTATACATAGAAGGAATAGATCTGAAGATGTGTATGTAGAAAAATCCTGTGTGCTGGGAGCAGTGAGATCACATTCTAGAAAACGTAAAGGTGGAAGTCCTAAACCTCGGGAACAGTTGCCCTCCCTTTGAATGTGTCCCTGTGTTTGCGAAGCACAGTGTTCACAGGTTAAACCAAGGTTGAAATAGTGCAGAGCAGTGTCCAAGGGGAGGCCCTTCTCTGCCCTTCCTCCGATTGCTTAGCTTCCTCCCCAGAGGTCACTGTGACTCGGACACAACAGTCCTGCTTTTTGTCACTTCTAGAAGTGACATGTATGAGTGGCATGTGTAGATATTCTCTAATTATTTGTTGTAAATCCTGATTATTACACGGTCATCAGTGTGCAGTTAGAATTTAACACTGCCCTGATACTACACATGTAGGCATTAAGTTTGTAGACATTTATGTACAATGAGCATCGCTTCTCGGCCTTTTGGCTAAGATCAAGTGTATGTACAGTGAGCACTTTGTTTATGAAATCTGCATTTTGTTCTGGAGTATATTAGATGTGGAACTGCTGAGTCAAAAGATATATCCTGCAAATTCTTACTATAATGTGAACAGATTTGTTACAGTTTTGCTGAAGTCTTTGTAGTTACTCTAAATGAATATATTTTCTTATTATTTATTTCATACGTCTGTATTTAAGTGGGTTTTACCTTTCCATGTGTTTTGCCCACTGGAACAGGGAAACATCAGATCCGAGTTTTCAGGAAGAGTTCTCCGGCCTCCTGCTCTTGAACATGCTGCGAGCAGCCACTGATGCGTGCAAGGACAGGGACAAGGTAGAGCCCCGCCAGGCGCGTCGTCCTCAGTGACACTGGTGTGCCGTCGCCAGCCCCGTCGTCCTTGGTGATGCTGTAGAACGCGGTGGAGGCTCAGCTGGGCGTGTAGTGTGCTCTGGCACTCTGGCCTGTCCTCAGGAGAATGACAGGATGCTGAGAGTAGAGCATTTCGCAGCTCATAGGAAAGGCAAGAAGTAGAATTGGCAGGTCAGAAAAATGAGCCGTCCCTGGCTTTAACAATCTGATCCTTACTACACTAACACAAGTACAAAGCCTCAGGCAGACATTGTGGTGCAGTGGGCTAAGTTACCACTTGGGGTACCTGTGTCCCATAGCGGAGTGCCAGTTTGAGTCTCAGTTATCCAGTGTATGATGGCCTAAGTACCCAGGCCCCTGCCACCCGTGTGAGAGACCTGGGTGGAGTCCCTGGCCCTGGCTATTGCAGCCATTTGGGGAATAAACCAGTGGATAGAAGACTTCTTTGTGTGTCTTCTCACTCTGTCACTGCCATTCAAATAAATAATCTTAGAAAGTCGTCATGGAGAGGAGCATTGTGGAGCTTCAGGTCTCCGATGGCGCAGACACACCTTGCAGTTCAAAGACCCGACGTGTATAGCAGGTCATGTGCTCTAAGGAATCCAAAGCTGACGCTGTGCTTTTTGAAATAGTTCTTTGGCAAAAGACATTACTGAGGTGTTTGTTTTTCTAGGTTAAAAGCAGCGCAGTCCGTGCCCTTGGAAATCTGCTTTATTTTCTGCAACCTTGTCATATAGAACAACCTAGGTTTGCTGAAATCATTGAGGAATCTATCCAGACCCTGATTTCCACCATTCTGATTGAGGCTGCCATGAAAGTCCGATGGAATGCCTGCTATGCGATGGGAAATATGTTCAAAAATCCCACCCTCCCACTCGGTAAGAAATCTCTCTATGAAAGTCTCTTTGGACAGCTTATGCCAACCCATATTGCTGTGAAAGATACTTGTCATAGCACTAGAAAAAAACTTACTGAAAACCCAAGTTTAGGGGAATGGTGAAATGAATTGTTGTGTGTATTTTAGTGGATATCATTAACAGGGATGGTGTTTGACAAATGTTTGAGTCGCCACTCGGGACACCTGCATCTCGTCTTGTAGTGCTTGGTGCAAGTTCTAGCTGCGCTGCTTCCGATCGATCCAGCCTGCAGCCGCACGTCCTGGGAGGTGGGAGGTGCTAGCCCAGGTGCTGGGGTGCCTGCCACCCGCCTGAGACCCACGCTGAGTTCCAGGCTCCTGGTTTCATTTTGGCCCAGACCCGGCTGTTGTGGGAAGTTGAAGAGTGCATCAGCAGGTGGAAGATCTTTCCATCAGTCTCTGAGATTCAAAATAAGTTAAATAAAGCAAAATACAAAATATTGTAAAAGGAAAGAAGTAAAATCATATATTTAGATAATTTGGAAAGGTAGCCCTCATGCTAAGCAAGCTGAGGCGGGATATTAAGTCCTTTCTGCAGAATAATCTCAGGAGATGGGCAGAAAACAGACAGAAAGGAAGTTGGCTTAATTATAAACAGTGGTTCTCTCTGGATGGAGTGGTAAGTGGGATGTTTCTCCTGCTTTCATTTTCTATAACTAGCATATATTGTTGTGATAATCAAAAATAAATCAAGGAAAACCTGAATGGAAAAGGAGGATGCAGATTGGCAGTCCCACATGAGCACTCGGTCCATCGTGGATGCTGGTGTAAGGAGAGCCTCTGGCCAGCTGCAGCACTGCTGTGTCTTTGATGTAGCTGCTCAGGTGTGGGAATCAGAGCCTCCTGAACACAGTCAATGTGCATGCTGGCATTGATCTTGTCTGTCCCCTGACAACGTTGGAAACCTAAGGGCTCATTTCTAGGGAGGAAAAGACCTGGAGCGTCAAGTATGGGGATTGGGCTCTGTGCCCAGCATGTCTAGGCAGGGCATGCAGCTTCAATGCTTCCCCCTCTGAGGAGGCAGCTGTCAGTACCACAAAGCAAAAAAGAGCCAGGAAACTGAGGACCCTGATGAGGCAGCGTGAGGACCTCGCGGAGTGGCCCTGGGGAAGTGCGTTATCCCCCACGGAGCGGAAAGGCCTGGGAGAGCTGGAGGAGCTGCACTGGGCAGTGGTAGCCTGGTGAGGAACAAAGCAGGAATGATGATGAGACAGCGAGCTGGGCATCTCATTCCTGAAGTGAGGACTCTTCTCTTTCATTGCAGTACAATGCATGACTTGCTTGGTCCACAGTAACGTGTGGATGTTCATCTGGGTGAGGATATAATTTTGAGAGCATGAGCAGCTCTGCTCCGTACGCTTGCGCAGGTTACACACCGTTCAGAGATGCCCTTCTGAAAGAATAGCTGGGGCTGCAGTGCAATCTGTGCCCTAGGGCAGAGCCTTCCAGGGAAGAAGGCTTTTTCTGGGTGGTCGAAGGTCCTTGTTGGGTGGCAGGGACCCCAGCACCCAGTAGCCGGCCTAGAGAGAGGGGAGATTTGGACATTGCTCCTCAGCCGCTTACGCAGGATCCCACACTTCCTTACAGGAGGATTGCATGAATGAAATGAGCAATTAGGGTGACTGTCTCGAGCACTGGAGTAGCTGCTTCCGTCTACCTCTCCTCTAAGCTCCCATTGTGTTCCTGACTGTGGGTTCTTCCTAGGGACAGCCCCCTGGACCGCCCAAGCCTACAACGCCCTGACATCTGTCGTTACGTCATGCAAGAACTTCAAAGTGCGCATTAGGTCCGCCACCGCCCTCTCCATCCCGAGTGAAAGAGCGCGCTACGGCTCTGTGGACCAGTATGTTCGCATCTGGAGCGCGTTGGTCACTGCCCTGCAGAAGAGCGAGGACACCACAGACTTCCTAGAGTTCAAGTACTGCGCCAGCCTGCGGACCCAAATCTGCCAGGCACTCATCCACCTCTTAAGCTTGGCCAGGGCCCCGGACCTGCCCTGCATCAAAGACACTCTTGACCTGAATGGAGATATGATCCAATCCTTTATCCTGCAGTTTTTGAAATCAGGAGCTCAGGGGGATGACACAGGAGCAGCTCCCAGCCCACAGGAGAGAGACCAGATGCTCCAAATGGCCCTGAGGCACATAGGCAGTATCCAGGCTGGGGCTGCAGACCCATCCCAGAGGGCTGTCGTGGGCTTCTTAGAAGATACCCTGAGTATTTACCTAGACTCGTCTAGATCCCAGGAAACTTTCCTAGAGTTCCAAACCAGTGAATTCTCACCGTAACTCCTGGAGTCAGTGTGGTAATTGGAAGACCCAAGCCTGGACGTGAGATGTGGGGTTGGATCTGGGGGACAGAAACAATCCACATGCTATTAGAAGGCATTCCAACCTGTTTCAATGTGTCACAGACAGCTCATCCACTAAAGAGTGGGTCCACGGCCTTGGCCATGGCAAGGGTTGCTGAATCTCCAAGAAATTAAGGCGTCAGGATTCAATGTGGGCTGGCAGACTAGGAGCTAGTGAGAGCTGTTTAGTCTAAACATTGTTTATTATGTCTTCAGAAATTATTTTTTCTATTATAATAAACCGAGCAAGTGTGCCACATCTCCTGTGTTTTACTCAGCAGGTCCTGGGTGCTGGTGCTGCTGCGTCAGCCACAAGGATGCCGTGACAGGTGCTCTTTGCCGGGGCCTGGCTGCTGCCCTGAGGCCCCGCGTTGGTCTCCCAGCGCCCTGCAGGGAAATGTGGCTGCACACATCAAACTCTTGGTTGTCTTGTCACCTTCTAATTTTGTGCCTTGACAGAAGGATTATTTGTTTCATTAGGATGGCTACAAAAATAAAAGAGGTCTTTAAATTACATTTTAATAACCAGCCAAGTAGTTATGAAAGTAATTTCTCACTGAATAATTCTTCACATTTAGATTTCGCGAGTTTTTAAATTGATTTCCGTCGGGAATGTAGGGCTGTGAGAATGAATTGACATTTTTGCACCTACAGCTGGTACGGGTGTACGAAAAGGATGGGTTGGGTGATGTGTTTGTTATTATTCAGTGTAAAATATGTACTTAAGGGTATGTGTCTCCCGCTTTTCTCCTTTGCCCCTTGGTTGCTCCTCCTCCATTATTGGTTGTTTAGAAACTAGACAGCGATGGAAGCCGAGTGCCGCACTGGAGCACGTGCTAGCTTTCTGTTGGCAGGATCCCAATCTCCAGAGAGCCTAGAGACACGGTGGAAGCACCCATGCAGAGCCTGCTTCATGCTTCCTTCTCGGAGGTGATGGCTGTCAGAGGGCCCAGGCAACCACCAAACCTGTCCCGCTCTTATGCTTGAGTCGTCTTGAGTCACAGCCGCTTTCACAGTTCTCAGCTCTCAGCACGCTTGCATGTGTGTTGAACCCGCAAGATGGCGTGTGCAGGTCATTGGCTCTGGTCCCTCGGGCGTCCCGTGCTAGCCTTCTAGTAAGGTATCTGTGAAACGATTTGTGCTGGTTTCATTGGTAGATTCACTCTTACTCTTTGCTTATTTGCAACAACATCTCATTCCTTCCTTTTTGAACCTTTAGCTTCTGTAAATGTGTCTAGGCGCCAGTAGAAACATTGGTGTTCATATTACAGGAGAGACCAAGGTTTAAGCACTTGGGCCGGGAGGAACCAACGAGTGTGGGGACCAGGTTTCCGCCTCGATGGGACAAGCAGCAGAGAGCAGGAATCCATCTCAGAGCACAGACACCAGGCCCGTGGAAGTCAGTGTGCTGGAAGCCAGGCTAGTTCAGAATGCCAAATTCTAAACTTTCTTTTCATATTTAAAGGAGAACTTTGGGGGAAGAATTCCCTGGATATAGTAGGACACAAGGAAAGATGGGCCTTGCACATGTTAAGCAAAAGAAAGCTGCAGTAGCTATGATAGTATCAGACGAAAGAGACTTCGGAGAAAGACCTGCCAGGGATAGCAAGGCACCTTACATAATAACAGCTGATTTGCACAAAGGACAAGGCACTCTTCCGTACCTATACTCAGCAACTGGACTTCAAAACCTCTTAGCACTGAAAGGAGAAATGACTCATCAATGCTCCGTCCCCGGTGACTGATAGAACAGATACAGAGATTCTGGGTCGTAAACTTAAACTCAGAAGAGCTGGTGCCACAGGAAGGATGACCTCTGGCTGCAATGAAGTAAAACCAGGGACCCTTAACTGGAAAACCACTGGATACTTGGGAACCAAGCAGCCTGCTTGTAAGTGATCAAAATTTCAAAGGAATGAGATCACTAGAAATTTAAAAATGCATAGTTGTAAGTAAAGCAGGACTTAGAAGTCTCAAACAGTTCATGTTTGTATTAGCAAAGAAAAGCTCGGGCCCCATGTCATAGCTCAGTGGCTAAAGCCTTGCTTTGCACACTCTGGGATCCCGTACAGGTGCCAGTTTGTGTCCATTTTCTAAACAGTTCCTTACTGGTGTCCTAGGTGGCCCAGAGCCTTGGGACGCTGCACCCACGTGGGAGACCCAGAAGAAGCCCCTGGCTCCTGGTTTGGATCAGCTCAGCTCAAGCTGTTGCAGCCCTTTGGGGAGTGAGCCAGCAGATGGAAGATCTGTTTCTCCTTTGGAAATCTGCCTTTACAATGAAAAAACATGAAAAGGAAAGGAAATTTCAAATTCATTCCAGCCTCCAATAGAAAAATAAGAGCAAAATCAACAAAAAGGCAAGGAGCTGTAGTGGAATGGAACAAGCCACTCTAAGGGTGCACACCGAGTCCTCTGACACACAGAAATCGGTACTGTGGGAAAGGGGACCAAGGTAACAGAGCCTTGAGGCAAGGTGCACCTTCAGGGAAGCCGAGGAGGTCACAGAGGTGGAATTTACAGAAAATCATTGGGGAACATTCTAAAGTCTGCTAGTGTCTGCACTATTGGACATCCATAGCCAACAGTGTGCCAGGTATCATAGAATAAATTTTTTTTTGCATGACTAGGCTTAATTATAACGGTAATAACTAATAAGTATTGACATTTTTTTTCCCATGAACAGCAAAAAAAAAAAAAAAAATTCTAGCTTTATTCCAAAGCATTTTAAACAGACTCACCCAATCATGTGCAAGAACAGAATATGTAGGTATTTTTATTACTTAAAATTTTCAGTCTTTTTTTGTTTGTTTTGATTCTTTTGGCAAACTCAGAATAAACAGCTAGCAGATAGCCAAGATGTAACAGTAAAGCATGGTGATGTGGGGGAATGGCCAGCAGAGGGAGACAGAGAACACAAGATCACTGGCTTTGGGAGCCTCTCTGGGATGGGTATCAGGTGGCTGCCATTGGAAGAGGGGGTTCTCAAACCAGGCTGATGCAGAAATCCCCTGGAGGATTTTCACCTGTCAGGGAGAAGCTGGGATGTGCCCAAGCTCCCGAGAGCTCTGAAGGCTGTCCCGGTGATTGTCATTAGTGCCCACCTGCAGATTGACTGCTCTGAACTGAGCAGCAGCTGCTGCTCAGCTACCTGTGGGCCCCTGAGAAGCACCCAGGGCACCGGCCACCTCCCTGGGCTCCTGAGGCCCCACGCTCAGTGACGTGAAGCCGCACTGGACGTGGATGCTAACGCATCAGAGCCATGGCAAACTCCGAATGGCTCAGAGAAGCGAGTAGAATGGAAAGCGTGAGAACACTGGAGGTGGAAGCGAGATCAGCAGGGCTGCAGTCTCCTCCGGACACGCCAGAGGCACAGGCTGCAGTCGGATCAGGTACTGGAAGTTTCTAAGGATGTCTTTGGTTGGGGGGGGGCGGGGCAGCTGCACCGTTTCTTTCTCAAGTCATTTGAGATTTTATAAGGGACATGGCTTTCTCATATCATGAAGGGGGCCAATCTGTATTATAGAGCATTTGAAACAACAAGAACCATGTGGAAGTGAAAGTGTTGTCTCCCTGACATAACCACTTGCATCATTTTGGTATCTTTCATTGACGAATCTTTCTTGTAACATGCACGCGTGTGCTGGGGCAGGCACTGTCTGTGTTTGTGCGTGCATGCCAACCCATATGTGTTGTGGGGAACCGAGCTCTTCAGTGTCTTGGACCGTCTGCCTTTTTGCTGCCTGCTCTGAGGAATAGTCATGAACAGCGACTGACTGTGTCTCGGAGACATGGCTCTAACGCCTAAAGAACCCAGCATCTTCGTGCCGATGGCCCAGCCAGCTCAGGGCTGTGGGGCCTTGTTCTCCAGCAGTGGGCTAAGTCCCGGGGAACACCGTCGAGGGTGTTGGACTCGTAGTGTGTGATCTGCGGCAGGCATGGCACTTCCCGACTCTAAGCCCTCAGCCAGCTCACTCCGTGCCACTGAGGGACTCGCAGGCCTTCGATGGCTCCCTACCCTCACATTTCTGCCATGCTGCGTGTGGCTTCCTGGTTTCACTGCGCTCCTTATCGCTGGTCCCCTACTCCTTTCAGTTTGTAGCACAAAGTTTTGCAATTAGACAGGCGCTGGATAGGCCGGGCCTACCCTGGTACTGGGGCCAGCAGTGGGAGCTGCAGCTGATGGTTATTGAGAGCTGATTGCTGGCTTCTAAACAGGCACTTTCTGTTCACGGGCGGGGTGAGGGGCTGTTTGTCGAGTCAGCCCCATTATACTTGCTAACTACAGCTGTCACAGGACGAAGGGGCCCAGAGGCCTGGCAGGGCCCAAGGCACACTGCCTTCCCACTGAGCCACCCCGGGCCTCTCGGAGTGCCTGGGTCTGGCTTTTGGCTCCACTCTGCAACTAAGTTACTTCTTACTTCTACCAGCCCCTCTCTTGTCATTTCTGTCCTTAGTCCTCTGTGATAATGAACTTTGAGTGACCATTGTCAGTGTCAGGCTCTACGCTGGGCGGCCTGTGTCCTCAAATTTGAGTCCTCCCCCAGCTGTGTTGTGAGGCTGTCATTGTAAGCGATGACCCTTGGTTACAGTGGGTGCTGCTGGAGCTGTCTCTGAGACAGTCCCATGCGAGCTGCTGGAGGGGAGGGCAACTGTGACCCCGTGCATGGGAGGGAGGGAGAAGTGGGGTCCCAGGGGGGGATCCACCTGGCGAGCAAGGCGGGGAGGGGTAAATGAGGAGGTACAGTGGAGGTGCTGAGAAGCTCGGAGGCCGCAGGGCTGAGCCAGGAAGTGGTCACAGCTATCCTGAAGGTGCTCTCTGCCTCCTGGAGACCCAGGCAGGAGGCGCTTGGGATCACCCACAGCCATGCTGGCTCCAGGAGGTCCTCTCACTGTCAGCTGCCCCTCCCCGCTCCATCCCCCTCCACCAGTGCTTCCTGGGGCTGACTGTGAGGACATTGTCCCTGCCGGCTGTGTAGGCTGTTTTTCTCCCCTCTGGTTGTGTCTGCCTGCCTGTGCGGCTAGAGGGAGAGCCCAGAGAACTAACAGTTGCCTTTATGGGGACCTTTGCTGCGGAGCACTGTCCTGGGAGGAAGTGATGTTCCAGGCTCAGGCAGCACATCTTCCTGGGTCAGCAGTTGCTGCCCGGCCAGGCCCAGCAAGAGACTGCATTTACCACTTCTCCCTCATTCCTCTCGATGTGATTATAAAAATAAGCCCCACTTTCTGGTGTCATGCCACCTGGGAGGTGGAAAGTGGCCCCGTGCTGATGACAGACAGGTGGGGCAGGGGCCAGGGGAGGCCTGAGCCTGGTCCCCAGGTAGCGCCCTGTCCATGCAGGGCTGCAGCTCCAGCGCTACCAGAATGGGATGAGCAGAGCCGACCACTGCATCTCCCCCCCCCCAGAAAGAGACCCCAGGGTCCAGGAAGGTTCCTGGCCTGAGATGAGGCAAGGAGAGGTAGGAGTTGGGAGCCAGGTGCCATCTTTGTCCCTTAGGTACGTGGGGTGAAGAATGTTCAGTAAACTCATGCAAGTGGCAACTTGTAAGGGAAGCGCCTCTGTTCTCACCACAAGGGATT